CTGCCTACATATCATAAAGAAACATGCTACTTTACTTTGAAAATTTCTACTGACAGAATCACAGAATCTTACAACTTCGTAGACAATGATGCGTACCAAACAGATAGCTAAGTTCGTATTCCAACAATATTTTGAAACATCTAAAATTTTGTATCCTCATCCAGCTACGAACTAAGTATCGAACCCGTCTTCTACTTGAGCCGTAAGAACTCGGGATGTTTGAAGCATGACAATACCTCTTACCTGTCTTGCCGACACCTTTACCCCATCACAAACATCACGCGAATTTTCCTAGTGGTCGATGACTTCAAAGCCGAGACCCTACCATTGACTTCAAGAGCAGAGCCCGTCTGTCCACCGTTGCATGCCGCTCTGGGGTGTTTAGGGTTTGGAGGTGAATGGTGCGCAATCTGATAGCGAAAAACTATGCCTTTCAAGCCTTAAGTCCTAAGCCCTAAACCCTAAGCAAGGCAGGTCTTGCCATGACTCTCGAGGATTGAAACGCGGGGAGCGACAGAGCGGCCCTCAATCGGCATGTGCGTCCTGACAGGGCGCCGAACAGTGTGAAGCCTCAAGCCATCGCGCGAGGAGAGCCCAACCATTTACCGCCAAGCCACCAGGTTTATGCTTGCAGCAATGTGCAAATTTTCTAATCTCTCCAGAGCTCTCTGTGGTTTTGTGCTATTGCTTTTCTGCCTCAATTTTCGCATAAAACGCAGCACTACAACTTATCCAAATCAAAAACCCTAGCAGGACTGACACTCAGGCCTTGCACATCTGCCGAGCTTCGGCTCAAAAGCTCTATGATCTCTGGTTGAATACACTGCGGATTTCGTAGGTTTGGGGGTCCTGGGTTGTGGGCCACTGAAGCATCGGCATGAGCGTGACGTTGTGCAAAGTCTTGCACAAAAGCAGCAAAGTCTTGCACAAAGGCAGCACTACACAACTCTTCCTAATGGTTGATTCCTTGCTAATGTAAAGCCAGAAAGGCTTGCAGCTAAAACTTTTATAAAGCCCGAAAACACCTTGTCAAAACCCGGGCAAAGCCGGAATGGACCTGTCATAAACACCGTTTAAAGCCTCAGGACCCTGAATCTTTAGAACCCTTAGAAAGGAAACACTGCAAGCTGTCCCGGTCGCGATTCCGATGCCTCGGGAAAGTCACAAAGTTTTTTCAGGATGTAACGAAGCTTCGTGCCGCTTGGGGCTCGGGGCAAGTGTTCTGGTCAGCACGAAACCTGCGTTGCATGACATTCTTGACCTGCCGATACCGGAAAAACCTGCGGTACGGAAGCTTGGACGCCAGGATTTGCTGGATGGTGCTATGACCGACAGCTTTGCCCGTTTGTGTGCAGCTGGACTTGCCAGCTCAAACCCGTTGAAAATTTGAAGTGAGGCCAATGTGGATCAGGTAGTAGTTCAAGGTCTTGAGTTTGCCACAGGCGACTCAATCGTGACGGACCAATCTGTGGGAACGAGACTACTGACCAACAAGAATACCTTCCTCCTGCTACTCCTCCGGCGCCTCTCGTTCTCTTCCTCCACTTCAGTTAGCATCATCACCGATCGTCATTCGGTCATCGCAGACATGGGGTAGTCGCATCAAACTACCAACTCAGTATCCAAAGCAGTAACTCCTAAACCCCTTAAGCTTGACATAAACCCTAAAGGGACCGCTAAGCATGCGGCTTCCGCTTCTCGCGTGGCTCTCCATTCACAATCTCCTCGAACCAGGGGACCTGAAAGGTTTAGGACTTCAGGGTTGCAGGCTTTGGGTACCAAAGTCTTAAGGATCTAGCTTTAGGCTACCGACCAAAACCTAAAATCATGCTAAGTCCCTTGACTTGAACCACAGACCCGACACCGTAAGTCCCGAACCCTAAAACCCCTAAACCCCACAACCTCCGGGCTGAGAAGATGCATATGCGCCTGGTACCCATGATCTCGGTTCCGGTCGACAAGGCGTCGGACCACCCATCCCTCGTCCTGACCAGCTCGGCAGAATAGAATGGAATCTTACCAATGAGCACATATAAACTCACCGCGCACTTGCACTTTGGAGGCTTTCGGCTCGTAGGGGGGAGGTCAGCTAAAGGGAACATCGAGGTCGAGGCAACATGAAAACAGAACCATCGCATCCGGCAGAAGCGCAAGAAGTGCATAGCCTACCTTATCTGCTTCTTGGTGGGGCGCAGAAGCCCCCGACCTCATTCTGAACTTGTGCAACTCCTGCCATCCTCAATGCAACATCCCGAATCCCAAGACTCATTCTGATCTCACGATTCCCGTAATAGCACTGAGTCTACGAAACAGCCCATGTCTTCCCAAGTTCAACCTTAAACCCTAAACTCCCTAAACCCTCAACCCTAAACCCCAAAGACTCCACCCTAAACACCTCCAAAAGGAGAAAAGGGGCTCACAGACCTGCTCGATTCTGATGGGCATCACCATGTAACCTCTCACCTTCTTGGAGTGGCCGACCTTTCGCTGAGAGTTCATTGGAAAATCAAGGTTCTTTGGGGTTTTGCGGGGTTTAGGGTTCAAGGTTCAGGGTTGTTTGGGATTTAGGGGTTTGGCCTGGTTTGGGGGGGCGCTCTTGCGGGTTGAGAGTTTGAAGGGATTTGTGCGAGGCATCGGAACTGAAGGAGCTCTGGCGCTGGCGCGCGTAGGGTTCCATAGGCTGCTCCCCCATAGTATTGGGTTCGTTTCGAGCATATGTCATATGTACCGTGTTTGAAAAAAAAACCCCAACTTGCAAACAACTCCCCGCCATCCCCATGCTAGTGCTGAGGCAGCACTGGCGCTGCAACTTATTATCAAAACACAGTTAGTCAGCCAAGACCAGTCCGCTGCACAGATGTTTAAGGTTTAGGGCTTGTATGAATTCGAGCCTGTAGTTCCCAAAACTTGCATGCGAATCAGGTGCTCCTACAGCTTTGTTCAGTGGGGACAAGTGAGAGCCTTACTGACATGTGATGAAAAGACCTCGACCGCTGAGACTTTCGTTGGCAGCGGTAAGTCGTCATGTTGATGCCTGAGGGGGATAAGGTCTACAGTTTGAAGTTTAGAGTTTGGGCCTTGGGCTTTGCCTGCACGGGAAGTTATTGTCATGTCGACGGATGCATCGATATGAGGAAGACATCACCAATTTCAAAGCACCAGCTTCGGCAAAAGGATGTATAGGTCGGCGCTCCCAGCTGAACTTCTGACCCGGAAGTCGATCTTGAAACGTCTCATCGGGCTTAGGATTCTTCAGGGTTGAGGCGGTTCGGGTTTGGCTTGTTTAACAATCGGCTGCCTCAAATCGAGAACACCCGCTCCCTCACGGTTCAATATAGGGGCCTTTAAATAAGGTTCTAAGACTATACTGCTTACCACTTCTAAACCGCCGGGACCCCCTTCCCAAACATGATTTGCAACAGCCTTGATTGCCTGGGCCTTGTAGGGGATGCCTTATTTCAGGGCCCTCCTTATCCTTTATAAGGACCCTAACCTTTGTGGTGTCCGTCGGTTTTGAACCTCATCTCCATTTTAGCAGCCATCCCGAACGATTGCATGTTTGAGAACGAGCGTCACCTCATTAAATTCTTACCGAACCACCAAAGATAAAAGCTGAGTGATCGCAGGGAGCCATGCTGAAGCCCAAACCGGGCCTGATACACCACGTCGCCATTTCCCAGATGCCTGCCGAGCTGGGATGTGGCGTTCGGTCTCCCCGCGCTCGGGACCGGCTAAACCCCAATTTGCACGGCCCGAAAGGCACGGAAACAGCGCCTTTACAGGAACACTTCTGAAAGTCTATCGAATCTACAACAGGATCCTGAGCCCCGGGCGTCCGAATCCTAAACCCCGAAAATCCCGAAGGCCTCACCAGCATCTCTGGGGGGACGACTTTGCCCGAGCCGGGCGCGAACCTCTGCGTTCAGGGTTATTTAGGGTGTAAGGTTCGCCTAAAGTCCAAGAGAGCAGATGGTTTAGGGCTCGGGAGTTTCAGAAGATCAAGGACTTTGTGTCGAGGTTTCCAGGTCGAATTAGGGCTTAGGCCTTGGGAGTCTCAGCAAATAAGCCGTACTGATACCCACACATTGCAAGATCCCTGCTATGAGTCACAGAGCACCTGATTCCAAGACATTCGAAGACGAGATTTCAGGTTTTAAGGTGCAGGTTTAGGGTGGAGGTGTTGAGGTTGTGGATTTGCCTTCCAAGACTTGTGCTCTGGATTGTGTGATTTGGCATATCTATGCACTCACCAGCGATCGCCATTTTTGCTAAGATACAGACTCAAGGGCCCACACTCAAGACTCAACACCCTTCTCCAGAAGATACCTTCGACCTTTGCAAGACGGTACCTGCCTGTATGTCTCCAAAGAAGACGAAGTTGCAAACTGGTGCGATGATGTATTAGTAGAAAATATAAAATATAGAATAGACAATAGTGGGAACTACTGGACTCTGGGTGGTTGAGAGGATAGAATCGTGGGTGTGTGGGGGTTGAGGACAATGTACCTTCAGAGAAGGCCTGAAGATTAGAGTAGAAGCCTTCATGACTATGACTGTGCGGACTCTACGATAATCCGCTCCGAAACTCTTTTCCAAACATCAACAGCCCCTATCTGAGTCCACTCAAAGCCAAGGGAAGGAAGTTCGGAAGCTTCAAGGGGTTTTCAACCCATGGATCTTTGGAGCAGGGTTCTTTCCTGGGTTTTATCGAGGGGTCCTAGGGAAAAGTCTCGCGAATGAGTGCGGATGCCGACGCTCTCAGGACCTAGATCGGGGGCACGCTCCGATTCCAAAAGGACCCTTACGAGAGAGACTGCAAAACCAAAATGTAGAAGCCGGAAAGACTAGTAAGACCATGCCTCAGGGTTTCTGATTGCAGCTATAGCAAAATGTACCCAACACTCCTATTTTGATTGAGATCCCCATATTGTCCAGCTCTGGGTGCGCAGGCGGCTCGGGCTTATTCACAACGACGAGATCCTTGGGATCCTGTTAAGTGAGGATCTTTTTCAAAGCTTTGGAAAGCGGGGGCTACTGGCCTTTATCAATCAGATGCGTCTGCTGCGATGCTTCAGATAGGGAGTGAGGGATCTCTAGCGTTCACTATTCGTCTTCGGTGGCAGTTTCTTGGGCTTTGGGGTTTCGAATGTGTCCAGCCTCACGGAAGCTTGACGGGTGCTTCCTCTTGGGCTCGGGGTGATGTACATATATGTGCACATGGGTATCTACGTAGATATATACGTGTATATGTAAATACTTGCGTGCATATACATACACATCTATAGCGAACATGTGGTGTTTGTGATATATAGTTACACACATGCCAGGATAGTTCGGGTGTATATTGACTTGGCCTTCGAATGCTTTTGGGATGTGTGGGTGTTGGATGTGGGGAACTGAACAGTTTGAGAATCCAGGAGTGGCATACTATTGTGGCATCCAAAGTTCTCATGAACAGGTCTTACATTTACAACAGGAGTCTTTACGGGGTTTAGGTTTTGAAGTCTGTGCTGTGCGGTTGGTCCGGTTGGTGACGAACCTGTGCTCTACCTACGGCCAGACGTCTAGATGACGTGCTAAATAATGTTAACTAGAACTTCATGCGCCTGCTGTGAACTAGCTACCAGATTGTTGGACTTGGCTTTCTTGAATACAGACGCTCTTTCGGCTTATGTCCACCAGACCCTACTCCCTAGGCCTTATGCCTTGCCCCCATCAGCCCGAAAGCACACCGAACCCTCAGCCCTAAGCTCGTTGGGAATGAATTGAAGGTATTTCTGCTTGTGAAGCCAAGTCCAGCCCAGGCTTCTACCTTGGTGTTGATGCATGGTTTGGGTTTGCTTTCGACTTGCTGGCTTTGGGTGTGGGTTGGTTTGGGCCTAGATTAATTTAAGGTTGAAGGTTCTGGGTGCTAATCAGCGTTTCTCCTGAGACCCAAACCCCTGAACCGTGGCCTGCAGATTCATCACACGCCAGGTGCGGTTGGAGTCCCATGCACCTCGGAACTGCCAGAGATGGGCTTGAAGCTTTGAGGAGTTACATAAGCTGTAGAGTGTTTGGCTTGTGGGCTTGCGGTTCTTCAGGGCTTCCCGAGTCCGGGACTCTTGTCTGGGGTTCCATCAATTGACCCCGCAAGCGGGGGGCCTTTGAAGGTTCTGGGTTTCCAGCCTTGGCCTTGCACTTGCTTGGAGGTTCACGGGTAGTTGTAAGTGGGGTTATAAGTAGGCTGACTATACTTATAACTCATATCAGGGGACTTATAACCCTACTTATAAGTACCCATGTACCTCCAAGTGCACATTTCGCATGAGAAGGAAGAAGCTTCTCTTCGCCAGAAAGGATGAAGGCCACCTGGGTGTGCCTTATGAGTACCTCGACCTCGCACTGCTGGGTTGGGGTCTTCAAGTTAACGACACTGCCCACAAAGGACCCTGAAAACCTAAATCCCCAACAACACTGCATCTTGCTGGCTCCCGCAAGCTCCGTAATCTTCTACAAGACTACCAAGCCTTCTGAGAAAGGTCGCGACTTACAGCCACACCTAACGTCGAAACGTGCCGTCTTGTCGGCTTGTCATCGCCACCAAACCATGTAAAAAAGTCAGGCTAGAATGGCATTTGTGCACAGACGTGGAAAACAATGGTCGCGAAACGCTGTGTGCCGAGTTCAGCCGTAGCAATGACTGTAAGGAGACACTATTTCCAGTCATTCCGCAAGCCCCTAGGATTTAGGGGTATAAGATATCATAAAGGGCGCCTTAACGAATCCCTACACTGAAACTCCTAGCAAAAACCACCCAACCCCCTATAGAAGCCTCGTAGAACTCTAATTACGCAACTAGTCTTGCGGATCATTCACCGGACCCCTATGTGAAATCCTCGAAACCTCTTCTAGCTAACCCTTTAGTACTTGGAGATTCATGGGTAGTTGTAAGCAGGGTTATACGTCCCCTAATTAGGGCCAGGGTTATAAGTTATGAGTATAATTAGTTACCCTAATTATAAAATCCCACTTATAACTGTGCATGAACCTCCAAGCAAGTGCAAGGGCAAGGACCTTCCTCGGCTCCACCCTGATCTGGATTTTCCGCCTGTCATCTACGAGCTCTCGGCTTTGGGTGTACGATTTACATTTCAGTGCCTGAGGCTTGGGGGAGGGTTCAGGGGTCTTAAGGCTCAGGGTCTAGGCAACTGCATTGGCGTTGGTGATTTAGGGTTTTAGTCGAGCGGTGCTTCATGTTTTTCAGGTTTAGGGTGCCAGCGTAGTTGTCGCGCTGAACAATGCTGGTTGGCTGGTCATTAAGCCTGGAGCCGTGTAAACAGTGTAGTAGAGGGGCCTTAATAATTAGAATAGGGTTTTGGGGGATAGTATACTCTAACTACAATAAGGAACCCGCAAAATAGTATAGGTACTTATTAAGGCCCTTTATTAAACCACTCATGGGCCACCCAGGAGAACCATCGAGCAGTCGGGCCGTTGAGAGCATCTGAAAGCCCCAGGACCACAACCCCGCCCTCCCCCAAAAGCCCAAAACTTGGGTACTGCCCACCATACAGTAACAGTCTATAATCGGGCTACTATTAAAGTCCTACTACATCTATACTATGAATATTAGCCAACTGTTGCTGAGTCGGGGCAGTACCCAACACAAAACCCTGAAGCCCGAAACCTTCCCCCACACACCTGTAAAATGACCTAAACCTGTCTGCAAAGCAAAAAACACTACGCTGGCAGACTTGGGCGTAGCCGCTAAATTCAGCGTTCCGGAAAAAATAGCCCAGGGCTAAGGGCTTTTCAGGTTTACAGGCCGTAACTTGAGTTGCTGTCTGGCTTCCGAAAGCTGCAAAATGTCGAACGACGCATAAATGAACACCAAAACGGAAACGATTAACCTGCACACCCTGGACCTGCAGACTAAAACCACGGAACCTACACCCACAACGCACTGAAACTAGCGGCATGCTGGGAGTTTCAGAAAAGAAGGGACCCTGATAACATTGTAGGATTGCAACAAGTTTCTTGATTAAAACGAACCCTTCATTTACGGGATCCCTACATGAAGAAACACGCAGATCTTCAAAACCTCTTACACAAAACTGATACAGCGCTCAGCGACAAACCCGCCTAGAACTCATTGCAACCCTTAAAAAAAGCCTTTGCAACTAACCCTCATAGAAACCTCTTGCAACCCAAAGGAAAAACCCTTACAAACCAGCAAGGACCCGCATAACGCTTTACTTCAGGGCTGGCCTTCGTGGGCTTCTGGGAGGTGTCATGCGGATCCAAGGGCTCGAAAAATCTCGGTCCGCCCTGCCGGCAGGCACTTTCTCTGCCAATGTTTGTAGGTGGTCTTGCTGTCGGAAGCCGTCAGGATTTCAGGATCTTTATACATGATTGCTTGGTATGTATTGTCAGCGACCAGGAGCGTGCATTGAGCTCCGCGCCTGAATGCCGGTTCGATATCTCGTTTATGACAATGAGAGCAAGCATGGACCAGAAGATGTTGCTGCTTTGCTCGGGTCGCCTCTGGTGTTAACGTGCATACGAGAACCAATACACAACCCTGAACTTCTAAACCAACCCTAAGCCACAAACTCATCCTAAACCTTAAACCCCTAATCTTAGCGTAAACCCCAAGAGAATGCAGACTGTCTCGTGGAAGCCGGCCTGAGATGTGGCATCGCAGGTGACCCAACCTCCGTTGTCGACTCTCGGACTTCAGAGGTCAGGAATAGGGCTGCAGGCTTTCGCGCTTGGGTATTGTCAGTGGTTTCAGGATTCAGGATTCAAGGCTTAGTTAGGATTTGGGTTTTAGGCTCTCTGTTCGCTCTTGGGCCTTGGGGTTTGGAGGAATGAGGCATTGGGGTGCAGAGCTGTCAGGCGTTCGAGCTTTCTTAATGCCGCAAGTGTCTCCCATGCAAGCTGATATGCCATGAGGCACCCCTGACAGACCGCCTTAAGCCCCGAATCTTCTCCAGTTTCGCAAAGATGCTACATCTTCCTGACACCTCAGCATGTAAGAACGTGAAAGATTGGACTCAACCCCAGATCTGGACGTGTAGCCAAGGATCCATGCAAACTCCTGATGCTGCAACAACCCCGCTGCAGCCTGCAACAGCCCTGTACCCACGACAACGACATGAATCCAGAAAGTCTGCCCCAGGGGACCTTGGCGCACTCTTGACGACGAGGAGGGCTGACCAGGGGTCGTAAGCAGCACTTTTCGCTCGCAACTTCGGGAACTTGTCTTGCTTCTTGGGGACTTGTGAATCCAACGCCCTCGATCCGAAATCCTTCAAACTGTGTAATTGTTTTTGACCAAACAAATGGACAAGGGTTGTTCTTCTTGGCACTACCAGCGAACTTGCGGGTCCCTTTCCGAGGGCTGTATACTGGCGAGGTCGCGCTATGAGTGTTTCAGGAAGGTAGGGTCAATAATGGTGTCTTTTCAATTTCATAGTGTGCTATGAGAGCCGAAAGCTCTAATTTCTGGTCTGTTATGGAATGCGAAAACTGTGATCCAAAATAGGAATTGGCAGGCTAAGGGTTTTTTCTTGCTGACTTGGCGCGTTCTTGGCTGTCTGAACCATAAACTTCTGGTGGCTTATGAATAAAGAACGGAACTGAAAGTTTCAGGAAAAAGAAGCAACACTTCAACGCCCATGAAGAGAAGCATCAGAACAGCTTCAAGCAATCGAGCTTTGGCAGCACAAGTTGAAGAAAGCAACCGGAGCGATGCTATCATGCTCATTGCCACGACGCCACGCACTAAGCTTGTCTACGAATCCTTTCGTAAGACGCGCGAAAGTTATTGCGCGTGATGACGATGACAATAAGCGTGGCGGTCAGATCAGGATGATGATTGCCATCGTCGTTGTTGGTCCAAAGCTACTTTTACTATGCCTTTGACTGCTTCGTTGTCGATCATTCGGAGCATTTCTCGAACATCCGCGGCAGTTGTGGCCGGACCTCCCTGCTCGACGTGTCCAAGAAGGAGATGTTCATCCGGACGATGCCATCCTCGGGACGCTGTCTTCGCGATTTTGGCTTACAAGGCCCATCACACGACCATGGAGCATCCTTATTCTGAACCCTCGAAGTTCCGTACATCCGAAACCACTAGTGCAGAACGCACAAGATCCGGTACTATAGGGGCCTGAATAATTTTGAAATTTGTTTGGCCCCAAAATAGTATAGGTAATTATTCAAGGACCCAGCAATCCTCAGGGTCAGCTGTACAAATGCCCGCGCCTTGGATCCGAACTCAGCATTAGAAGCGCTGGCTGCGGACTCAGTTATTGAGTCATTTTCAGTCTTACATATTTTATTAATATTTATTGGCAGTTGTTGTGAACAGGGGTGACTTCTGAGCAGCGATTCCTTTCCTGCGTGATTGTTGCGGACCTCCCGAGCCTTGCTGAAAGCAAAGCTGCTCTAAAGCATGGCTCCTTGTTCTAAACCCCAGACTCTGAATCCAACGGTGAGCCCGGAATCCTGACGTAAGGAGTTCGGAGAAGTTCAATTACCTAATTATCCCGACCCCTAACCCTAGAGAATCCTGGTTGAAGTCATTAAATAATCTCAGAAGAGTTCTTACAGAACCCTGACGCCTGAAGCCCTCAACCCTCGTGCAACGAAGTCCTCGGTTTCCTCCAGAGGAGCTGCCTTCCATCGCAAAGGGAAAAGTAGACTGTAACTACTGGGTTGAGGGTCATTTCAGCTCACATGAAGGGTTTCTATAAGCAGACTCTAAACTCATGAGCTACTACACTTATCAGGCTTGTATGGCTGCTATATAAGGGCATTCATGAGTATAAGGTTCGAGTAGGACTACGATACGAACGTTCGTAGGTTCGGGACTGAACACTGAGGGTTTTTCAAGGGTTCAGGGTTCAGGGCAGAGCGTGTTCCAGTTGAATGCTTTTGACAAGCTTTTGGGCAGAAGCTGCATTTCGAGGAGGCTTGGCTTTTTGCAATCAAGGATTTCCGGTTCAGGATCGCTAACCTTACAGACCCCAATCTCTCACTCCTGGTAACGACATTAGAAACGCGAATGCTAGCAATCGAGCAGGGGTCCAACTCCCATGTGGTGGAATGATGGGTTGGAATGATGGGTGCTGGTTTCTGCTCCCTTCGTGTTGCAGTCACTGGAGGCCTACGCTCCCGCTGCTAACTTCTTTGGCCCCCTAATGCTTAGCCTCCACATGTCTTGCCCATCCGAGAAGCAATCTGAATCAATCGGGTTTTACACCACAAATGCCAATACTATCGCGGAAGACTAAAATGGAAAGAGCCATCTTCAGTGTTGCAGAAATAGGGATGGACGCCCAGTCACATTGAAGACCCCCCTATGTGACTTGTGTGCTAGAGCCCTGTAACGGGTTGGAACCCCAAACCCGAGAGAGCATAGTCTCCATGGAATGGAGCTGAAACCCTGAAGCCCTCAGCCCTAAACCCAAGGAGCTTAAACCCCAAGACCCCTTCGCTGAGAGGGGTCATACAGGCATCATATGAAACAAGAAGATTGTTCTAACAACATTATTTTGCTATACAGTAGTTACTCATAGAGGAATAGTAAGGAAGTTCAGTAGTAAGGACATTATACAGTAATTAATCACATAATTACTCATAGACTAGTTCGGAAGTTCATGCGCCTGGTCCACGACTGTCCCGCAAGTCAGAACTGCGACCTTCGGGGGTCCAAAGAGGAGGCAGGCGTTTGGGGCTTTAGGGCATGTGGGGTTGAGGCTTTCGGGCTATCGGGGCTTTGAAGTTTCGGGCTTAGGTTTCTGGGTATTTAAAGCTTAGGATTGAGGCTGTTGGCGACAAAGTCATTCATTGAAGTTACCCGAAACTCTACAGACTTCAACCAGACAGCCTTAAAACCAGATGCTAGTCGTAAGCCCTTAGAAAGCCATGCGAAGCAGCGCCCAACGCCCTTTCTGGAATATTACGTTTCAGCCTTTGTGCAGCCCTGAAGGCGAGCAGGCTCTGGCACAAGAGTTGGGCCTCGTCACTGTCCAGCGACACCTCAGAGGATGCTTAGGAAGGCTGGAACGCGGCGAGAGGAATACTTCAGCTTCGCTGTAGAACTTCGAAAACTAGAGGTTTAGGGTTTAGGACCCGGGAGGCATTCCGGCAAGATCGCTGGAGGACTGCCACACCGAGTCTCAGCAAGGGTGCAAGTCACGAATTGCCGCTGCAGGAACGCTGACACAGGCAATATCGGAACTCGGAACCTTAATACGTAGACTAGGCTTTTGGGGTATATTCTACTGTAACTCTATATATACACAGATGTGTAGATGCATACGTATATACATCTAATTACTTACTTACTTACTCTTATATACGTATATTTAGTGTATATGCGGCTATTTGGATTTATCAGCTGCTTTCAAAGGACCACATCTGTTTATTCGCCGCGTGACCCTTCTCGCCTCATCTCAGGGCCCCCGGCCCCCTTCCTGACAACGATGTCCCCCTTCTGGGAACCGCTGTTAAAGACCACCTGCGGTTTCGGCGGTAGATGAGATATCTGGTGGTTTAGATTTTCAATAGACAAAGGCATGACAACATCGAAACCTCTCTGAATGCTTCCGTCAAGTCAGACACTGTTGAGCTGATGAGTAGTAGTAAAGCTGCAAGAGCCATGCCTGCCATCGTGGCAGCTTGACCTTAGGATCAGCTCGGCCCTTCTGCAGCTATTTTGGCTCCACGCTTTACCTTAACCCCCTCAGCGCGTGATCCAAAGTCCTTGATTCTTCAACCTTAAAAACCGGATCTTAGGATCGGGCCTTTTCCAAGTAGAGAGGTCCGCCTACGGCGGACGCGTCGACGGTGACCCATCCGCGCGGCTGCCAGCGAGATCACTTTGCGTTTGCAAAACCACTGCCCCCAAATGCTTCAAGCCGAAGAGAAAAATGGACCGGCATGCTGTCATGCGCAAAAAAGAGCAGAATAGAATTGTGACTGTTGCTTTCTTCTATGGCAAACTGGCGAAGTTATCTAGCAATCAGAGCGAGCTTTTGGCACAGCTTTGCTGATTTTGAGATCTGTTGGCGAGGCACAGAAAGTGCTGAATTCCTGGAATCCGAAAACCCATGCTCTGCACTCCAGGACCCAAAAACTCTACTTTAGCAGGTCACAGACTTCGAGTCTTTGTACTCTACGTTCGCCATCCTGACTATCCTCAATCCCGAATGAAAGTAGGAGCCTGATCCCTATGAGTCTTGGTGTTAAAGCGATGGCGCAGCAAAGGAGGGACGTGGAACCACGCCAGCGCGAGGCATGAGCGGAATCCAAAACTGCAACCCACTTGGACAGGTAGAGCCAGGTCCCAAAACGGCGATCGCTAGAGAATCTCTCCAGGCAGCTCTGAGAATGAAAACGATTTCAAGGATCTCGGTACCCGAAGTTTACAGAGTTTAGGGGTTTAGGGTTTAGAGGGTTTGGCAGTGTGGTGGTGGAAATCCTCTGAGAAGGCAACCCATGACATTTGCGGGCGCTCAGCGGGTGATGCGGCAACTACGTTCGGACGAGCTTTTGACCCCTAATACATAGGCCCGATGATGAACATAGTGTTTGGGGCACTGTACCATTAGCATAGTAAGGATTCCCAAGGAACGCTTTATGAAGTATCCAGGCTTCTATGTTATCCGAGAACACTTCGGTATGCATTCGGAGAAAATGTTGTTTATCATCCTTGTCACAGTAGTTGTGTCACATGGCCACCCAAAGTCTTGAAATCTTGAGTAGCACTACATCCTAAAGTCTACAGTCTCGAGTAAGATTGACCCGTGCCTGCACGGGCATGCGCTGCAATCCCGATGCAGGGCCCGAAACGAAGACCTGGAGGACAAAGGAAGCTTCATGAAAAGTATACGTGCTTGCAGGTAGAGTGAACCCCGAATGTTGGAACATAGATTAAGGATGATTGGTGCCAGGAGACCCAATAATTTCTCTCTTCTACTCTAGTTTGGGCATATATGACAGAGCTCAATGCAATAAGAGATGTCCTACACAGGTTTGAGGCTTTAGGCTTTGGTTTAGTGCGTAGGCCTTCGAAATCTTGTCGGTTTAGAGCATCAGGCGTGTGGTTTGCGCGTCGGTGCCCAAGGTTTCGAACTTGGAGTTGCGAGTTCGGAGTTCCGGTTCTCGCTTGAAGGATCCAAGCTGAAAAGTTGCAAGCACCTGATTTCGTCTGTATGTTCCACCGCAGTCTATCGAAGCTCAAGACAGACATGCTGCGATGCAAAGGCACGAGATCGAGGACTTTGGCCTCCGTTTGTCTACTTTCAACTCGGAGGTTCATGGGTAGTTATAAATGGGGCTACAACTACAGATAACAACTATAGTTAACCCCCCACTCCAAGCCCGTATCGCTGTCAAAAGCCCACTCTTCGGGGTTTCTGGTTAAATTCATGCTGTACTTTTCTATACTAGAGAATGCTGTATTATGCCATACCCCAAAACCTTATTGTAAGTGCAAAGGCCCGTATTGTGGTCCTCAGCGGCTAAAAGATTCTATTGTGATCCGCAGTCGCTCGCCCTGCTCCCTGAATGCACAAGCCTGGCGATACTCTTCCATCCAAAACAAAGTCTGGGCGCCTCATTGTTTCTAATGGGAGTTTATGGGAGCGTGGCGCATGCTATCGCTTTTATTGTTGCTATTGTCATTACTCCTGAGTACCTTTTTATGAAATCATGATGGCTACTATTTTGCTATCATAGTTACTATGTCTGATATTCTAATTTTGCAAGAAGTGTATCGTAAGCGCTCAGGGCTCGGATTTCCGGTAGCCAAGCGCCATGGCCTCAAGAGGTCCAGCCTGCAAGACCTCAAGCAGTCTGAGAGGCGTCCCATCATGTCTTGTAAGGGTTAGGGTTTTGGGCCTAAGGGTCTTTAGCACTTGGTATGTTCAAGGTTTTGGGTTCGGGGTTCCTCAACCCTAAGCCTTGTCATGCCTCATTTGCATATGAGTATTGGGGTTTCGTGTAAATTTACTTTGATGCTTCTATGTGTGTGCATAGAGTTTGGGATTTTGTGGGTGCTTTGCGTCTCGTCTTCAGGCTCAGACTTGGGCTTTGGTGGCTTGTGTGTCAGGTTCAGGGTGGCTTTGTACGAGTTGCGGCTTTCAGGGTTTCGGATGTAATGGTTTGGGTTCCATGCTTTCAATAAGGCTCCAAAACAGCACATAAGGAAAAAATAGGATAGGGATATCCCATATAAACCCTCTGATAGTGAAGCCCATTAAGGTTGGGATGTCCTTATAACACGCTTCTGCTTATGTCCTGCTGGCGTCCCTAATTCAAATTCATGGGTCGTCGGGCTCGACAAAGATCGCGGTTGCTCTCAGAAAGTGTGGGATTTCAGCTCCACAGCGAAGTCTTTACCGTTTCCTTTAAAGGCCCCGATGTTAGGTCATGGCCGGTCATCGTATTTGGGCAGAAGGCTCCTTAAAGAAGGGCCCAGGATCTGGTAACCCTAAGGCCTAAGCCCGACCCCCGCACAAAAGCCTTAGCCCATTAGGACTTAACCTCCCGTAAGGCAACACTTTCAGCCTATGCTTCCGACTGAGGTCCGCGCATACTGGCCAAACGGCACCTCGAGAGAAGACCCGCAGGAGCACTTGTCAGAACTCTTAGGGCGAAGGTGTGTAAATCCAAATTAGAGCACCCATTCAGCTCTTGAATTCCATACCCTCGTGCATCCCCTACCTTGACCCCGAGGAAGAACACTTGCTCTCAGATCTTCAGGCCCTGCCCCGCAATCCGATGCCCAAGATTGGGAAATTGAGAAAATTGCCAGTATTTCGGTGGGCTGGAGGCTTTGGTTCTTTAGTTCACCAAGGTTCAAGCTTCAGGGTCCAGAGTCTAGGAGTCTGGAAGCATGGGAGCCGCCTGGAAACCGAAGCTGAGGCCTCGACTCGAGACAACAGAAACCACACCACAGCACAGCTCAGCTCTTACAACCGCGTCAACGTCCGAAACCCTTCAAAAAACCCAGGAGTTTATCATGAGGCCCCCTACAAAGTGGCCCCAACTCCTCTGGAACCCTGGCAAACCTCTAAAGCCCTGAACGACTTAGTATAGGCGGCTTTAATCATTAGAGTAAGGTTTTGAGGTATATCCTACTTTGATTATCATAAGGTTACGGGAACCACCAAAATACTTATTGAGACCCCTACAGTAGGTTTCTCAAGGGCTCTTGGGGCTCGTGCCCTCGTGATCTCCTCGGAGGTGAGGAGGAACTGCTCTCGGATGATCACTTCACCCTTGTTCGGACAGCAGTTCCTGTGAGCTGGGTTTTCAGGGGACTTTGGGATTTAGGGTTGCTTGGGGGGGCTGCAGGGGTTTAGGGATCTCGGCTAGACTAGGACGCGGGTAGGGCTTTGGGCTGTCTTGTGCCCTTGGTATGAAATCGTTCATGGGTGCACACTTATCCACGCAGCTCCAAAGACACAAAGATCGTCTTGGGAAGCCTTTCCATTGCAGGTCCGCGGGACTTTCCGCGTAAAGCTGAGATTGAGGGCTCAGGGTTTCAAGTATCTCAGAGCTCGAAGGGTTTCCAAATTTGGGTTTGGGGGACAGGATCATCGCATGCAAAGGTTGGCAAAAGCGAGGGCTATTACAGGGGCCCTAAATAAATTCCAATACTATGGTAAGGGTTCCTGATTGTAGTCATAGTATAGTATACCCCCAAACCCTAGTCTAACTATTAAGGCCCCTGCATCAAAACCCCTTTGCCCTAAGCGGCAGCTGGGCTGTCCTCCACCAGGTACCACGCTGCGGTTTGGGGACGATTTCTGTTCGGCCCATCTCAGGGATGAACCTTCCACAGTGGAGTTCGGAAAGGGCTTTATGAAGCTTTTACACTGGGTTTAGGATTTAGGATTCCGCCGTGGAGTTCGCTAAAGGGCTTTATGAAGCTTTGTTCAAGCTCTTCGGGGATCTTTAAACCGCAGAGTTCTGCTTTAGGCTTCTATGAAGCATTTGTAGGGTGTCGTAAAGGGCTTACTCAGGATATGTACATGTCTGTATATGTATACGTATATGTAGATGGGGATGTAGATGTGCGGTAGATGTAGAGCATGTGTATGTATATGCATGCAGTTTAAAGAGAGAGAGAGAGAGAGAGAGAGAGAGAGAGAGAGAGAGAGAGAGAGAGAGAGAAAGAGAGAAAGAGAGGGAGAGGGACATAGAGACAGATAGACGGATAGATTCGAAACAGCGCCGTATGTTTTTTGGGGATCCGACCACAAGGGGCTTTCAGGGAGGTCTAGACGTCGAAGCATTTCTGTTACAGCCTGGAGGCTTAATCCTCGCTGTAGGGCAGGTCACATGGGAAAGACCAAAGGAACATCTTCAACTTTCCAACCCACGATGCCTAAACAAAAATCCGAGCCGAAACCCCAAAGCTCTGAAGCGCCGGATCCTAAACTCCTAGGGTCCTAAACTCCTGAAGGAAGCGGTCCGGTGGGTGGCCTCCCAACGGTTTCGGAACGGCCTTTGCCCTCCTTTCCTTTCCCTTTCCCCTTGTCGCGGCCTGCAGGCATTTGGCATCTCACTCGTTCGGGGTGGTGGCTTTTAAGTGAGGGTTTAGGGTTCAAGCTTCGTTTAGACTTTCTGTTTGGAGGTTTGGGATCGTTTGGGCTTGGCAATCTGCTCCGTGGTAAAGCAAAAATGTCCGAAGCCAAGGTCCCGAGAAAGTTGAAGGGTTGCAGCATGAATCAACTTCAGGGTTTGTGGGCCACTCGTGTGCCTACTCGCATATCTACTCCCTCATCGACCTACTTGATTTTGTGCAGTGACTACTCTCAGTATCCTAGCTTGGCTTGCGATGTACACGGTCCCTGGATTAGTCCAGGATTTAGATTTCAGTTTTGCTCCTTGCCGATACAACTAAAGGGGAAGTAACGATGAACCTTTGGGATTATGTTCGGGGTTATAAATACCCCACCACCCCACAAACAACGGTAAGGGTGTACTACCCGCCCAAACATGTAGGGATATAAAGCTGTCATACCCCTAAACCCTAAACCCCTATCCCCCCAAGAAGCTACTAGCAAGAGAAGCTTAGCTCGAGATTGGCTTTCCTCCTCCTCTGATTCGATCTCGATCTCCCTCTTCTTCCTGCCTGGGACGCGTGGCTCGGGGCTTTGGTGGAGGAGGGGGATCTCAGTTATGGGGTTCCAGGTTTCAGGGGTCTCGGATTTAGGGTATGATCTCGTCAGGATTCGGGGTAGGCCTCGCGTGAAAAGCCCTCGCTACTAATTGCAGAGTTCAATATGGGTAAGCTCGTGTCTACCCTGAAGCCAAACCGTCCAGGATCCAGACGAGATTGAGACCAGATGACTGTGGATTGGCTTGCAGTTCTAGTCCAAAGCGTTACAGGGAAAAACTCCGACGTTCAGCTGAGGGTTCAGACTGCTTTTGGGCACCTGATATGAAGACCTTCTAAAGCTGCAGCGTCCGGAACCCTGCATTGGCCCTGCATGCTTCACCTAGACCTAGGCGTACCAAATCGACGTCTGCTGAGCTCCCTACGCCATGTCAGGACCTTGGCACGCGGCATTCGGGCTTTGGGCCCCGCGAGGTTTGGGAATGACGGTTTCAGGATGTGAAGCCTTCTGAACTTGGAAGTTTGGGCCGCCAGATTCCGGAAAGATGCCAAGTCCCGGGGGGTTGATCCCTAAGTTTAACGGTTTTGGGGTTGCAGCTCAGGTGCAGAGGGTGCAGAGGGGCCTCAGTCAGGGTTTGCTCTTCGATTTCCCGCCCTCAAACCCAGCAAAGTGGAAGGCAAAGGCTACACCCTTACAAGCCCTTACACCTCCAGCTCAATGACTGCATGCAAATCCTCAAGCCTGCAACCCAAGAACCCTAGTTTCCCGACTTTCTGCCCTCCTTATCTTCTTCGGGGTTGAGCGGGCCTAGAAGGAAATCTTTTTGCGGCACTTGGCTAGGTCTCATCAGACGTCAGGCCTTGCTCTCAGCAAAGAAACCCAGACGCGCTGGGGAGCCGGCAGATCAAGAACTTCAGAGTTGCCACCTGCGGGCTTTATGGGTTTATGGCCTTTTGGGTGAACTGCTGAGGGCAGCATGGCTTGGTTGTTCGAGGGTCCTTACACATATTGGCTTCTAGTGTTTGTGTTTAGGATCTTGAGGATTCTACTTCTGGGGGTCTGAAGCTCCCACCTCTGGCGGCTTTGCGATGGGCATCATGGCCTGGCCACGTGAGGGAGAGGAAATCAGAGGAGCGTTTACAGATGGGTTTGGGTTTAGGGGATCTTTGGAGGCTTAGAAGGGGTTGTTTCCCTGCTTTATGCAGAGAGACAGGACCCCATAGCTTTTACACGGTTTCAAGCTTCAGAGCTGTTTGGTTCAAAAGTGTGCAGTTGAAGGTTTAGGACCTTCAAGCTAGCGGTTGCCAAGGTGTCGTGTTGAAACTTCTCAAAAGAAAGGGGGGGTACCTGTATTAGCGATCCTTGCAATAACGATCCTACGATTTGGGCTTCTTGCGGCTTCCTTATTTCCTTCAGCTCCCATTCGGGGCTACTGCTGGTAGGGGTTGTCGTGCCCGCAGGGTCTGACCGCCTTTGTGCGCGGAGCACACATACTCTAAGACAAAGCGCTTCGAGTAGCAAAATAACATTTTTTTTTGCTTTTTGGGCCGTCTCTTTAAACTCAATAGAGGTCAACATGCGGGCCGGACGGCGCGAACCTGCAGCATCCAAATGAGGCCGTACCTGGCACAGTCAGTCTGAGGCTTTAGGTTCATGGGGCCTGAAGCCTAAACCGAAACCCTCGACAACGTGGCACGGCCACTGAAGATCTTCCTGGTTGAAGATGCTGGTATCGAAAGGTAGACTATCCTGAGCAAGCTTCACGCTCTTCTCGCAGAGGTACCCTAAGGCCTGGCCTGCTGTCGAGGATTCTCAGGCTCAACAGTGACTTAAATGCAGGAATCGGAGTCACACAGAAAACCCTACTAAAAAAGCCGAAATGCCGAAGCCGCGGAGGGAACGATCCCCTGAGCCCCTGCACCGCTTTGCGGGGAAGACACCCTGTCGGTCGTGCTCAAGCCCTCCTCACTATGCAGAGTGTAAAGGGAGCTCACCATGCGGCCGGCCCACTCCAAGCCGCATGGTGGCTTCCACGATTGCTCCTCCCCAAGAAAGGGTGCCACTTGACCTTCAACTTCTTTCAAGTAGCCCAGTGAACGCTCCGTAAACTGCTCATCCCGTTGCGCTTCTATCTGGTCCTTGAGCAAAAGGAGCAACTCTCCCGTATAATAGCCTTGATAATAGCTTTCCTCATAGAACTTCACGGCCTTCTCCACCCATTCGGATCTGTGAAGTGACCTCACAGTTCCCATCATGGGGGCTCCCGGAAGCTGTTGCCTCGCAGGCCGCCGCCGAGGACGACCGTGTGACGCCATGCCGGATACCCGAAAACCTACCCGCCGAGGCCTCGAGCCAGCGTCGAAGCCGCGGTCGAAACAGCTTTTCTAATCAAAGAACACCTGCAATGATGAAGCTAGCGCACCCACCGCTTACGCCATGCCGGCGGGCCTGAGCGAAGACGCTGACCTGCGTCGCCACTTTGCTCCAAAAGCTGCGAACTGCCACTGCTCGACCCCGGCTGAGGCGGAGACCTCGCGGACCACCGTGCCGCGCAGTGCGTCGCCTCTTGGGCGCGGATGCTGCGGCCGCGGAAACCTCGGTCTGCGACTCCGACTCTGCATCGCTGACTGTCTCCAAATCCCTGCAATGCACCAGCTTTGCGATGCCGCATAGGCCGGAACGTTTATTGTACAGTCGCAACTTGACATAGCGCACCGTCTGAAAACCCTGCGCCTTCTGGAAGGCGGACCACGGCTTCCGCGACGCGCTTGCGCTCTACCTATCACACCGAGGATGAATGCAGGGTCGGTGGCTCCGGAAAAAAAGTAGACGTCGTTGATGACCCGCCGCATCACTGCATCGCTGTATTGGGCAATCTCGAGCAACAGCCGTGCCTGAGATACATGACTCTGGACCAACTGAGTGACTACTTGCCGCTAAGTCCAACACAGGCTGAAAATAGACTGCCTCCCCCACCTTCTCCCCGCCGACTGCACCGAGAGCACCCCTCTGCAAAAGCAGCTCGCCCACGTACTTGCGCATCTCCGACACACGTGGCAGGGCTGCATTCATGGCGTCGGAAGCGAAATTCGTGCCTCTCGCAGCTATAGCTTCTGTCCTCCCCACGCATGCTACTGTTGGACACACCCTGCATCGCAACTCCGACGACAAGGTTTCTGCTCTACAAACTAACTCAAGTCAACTGCTTGGCCTGGCCAGTGGCCGAAACCTCGGGCCGAGACGGAGAACGCAGAAGAACCGCATTAAGAAGACCAAGCGCACCTCTGCAAACCAAAAAAAACAGCGGAGCTCCGTCTCGTTTCCTGCGCCTGCTGCCCCAAGCACTGCGACTGTGACCAGCGGGACGTACTCGTACTCATTGAGACTTGCAATCCTGAGCCGGATACATCCTGCCTGGATCATCATCAGACAAAGGAACGCTTCGATGAGCCTCGCGTCGCGACCTTCTAACTGGAGCTTTGGCCTTGGCTTGAATCCCTGCAGATGGAGACGATATATTCGACTGCTCCGACTGCAGTGAGCTCGCAGAAGCGGACACGGGAATCCGGCCTAACGACTGCCGAATTGATTCCGCTTCTTTGAAGTCAGCGTGGGTCATAAGCCTTCTCTCGGGAACCGGCAATGGCTCGAATATCGTCTCCCTGAAAGCTTGCCTTTGCTTGTCGTCGTCAACTACAAAGAAAGGTTGACCCGCAGAAACCAACTCTTCCTTGCGCCAGCACACATCGGGCTTCTGGGCATACTTTACAATCCATGGCTCCAGCGCATACATGGGTGCTTCCCAAGTCCAATTCTTGCGCCTGGGAGTGGACTCCTGCTCGGATCGGCCCTCGACCGACCCTGATTTTCGAAACCGAGTCCCGAGGCTTCTGAGCTGCGGCTGCTTTCGACTCAGTCGCAAAATGAAGAAGAAGCTGAATCAAATCGGATATGTCGAGCTTCATCTGCAGGTTGACACTCATGCAAAGGCATGGCCGCCCCGAAACCGGATCGAGCTTCATCTCTGCCTTTGGAGCTGCCCCGATTGTCAAGGTCAAAGGTAGAAATTCGGAAGCCATGGCCGCACAGCACAAAAACAGTCTGCTGCCGTAATATGAATTGCATGGCATGGAACACCACTGCTCGCGCGAGAATGCCTGCTGCCTCGACTGCAACAAAACGACAACTTGACCTGGCCAGTGGCCGAGGCCTCGAACCGAAAAGCGATCCGCACTTCAAGCGACTGCAAACAGCGAGAGAACCCTCAGAGCGGATGAGTCGTGCAAGAGCCCGGCCTTGCAAGCTTTATCGACCTTCCTGCCCTTCTCCTCAGAGCTGCAACCTCGCGAAGCTGCTCATGGAAACTTGCGATGCTTGACTGCTTGTTTCTGCCTGCATCCTCATGAAACGCGGAAACATGTCCATGACAAACATCCAGCAACGGCACCCTCGCTCTCTTCTTTGAACACCTTCACTCTGTTCAAAGCGACCTGGAACGGACGACTGCTATGTTACTCCTGAAGAAACCTCCCCGAACAACCGGCTGGTAATCGACTGCAACCCAGCAAGAATGCTCCACTGAAACTTCCGAACCTCGCAACCCGCTGAGGCCCCCGACGAGCGACGAGAAGCGAAACTCCCGCGGAAGACGACAGCGGAGAAGTGGGGCTGCTTGTTGGCACAGCAGCATTAGACACTTTTGGTTCAAGCACATGGAACGAAACCTCCGAACCTTCCGCAAACTTGCCTTAGCCTGTCCTGAAAGCCTCGTTCAGACCTCAAACTGAGACACCAAGAGGACTTCAGCTAAAACCTGAACTCAACGTAAAGGCTGCTGCCTTTCGCCCCGGATGGCTCGCTCGTGCATGGTCCCACATCAAAAAGCTCTGCTTGGCCTGGCTAGTAGCCGAAACCACGCATTGGAGACGCATCAATAATACCTCCCGCCGCGCGCCAACTCTTGGGGGACCTCCAAAATGCACTTTTGCAGCCTCCAAAAGCACGTTTTGGACCACTTGCAGCGAAAGACCTTCGGAGCCAAGGAAAGCAACGCAACCGCTGCTTTCGCCCGGATGGCTCGCTCGTGCGTGGTCCCACATGAACAAGCTCTGCTTGGCCTGGCTAGTAGCCGAAACCTCGAATTGGAGACGCATCAATAATGCCTCCCGCCGCCGCACACCAACTCTGGACGGACCTCCAAAATGTACTGTTGCAGCCTCCAAAAGCGCGTTTTGAACCATTTGCAGCGAAAGACCTTCGGAGGCGAGGAAAGCAACGCAACCGCTGCTTTCGTCCGCGTGGCTCGCTCGTGCATGATCCCGCGTGAAGTAGCTCTGCTTGGCCTGGCTAGTAGCCGAAACCTCGCATTGGAGACGCAACACTAATACCTCCGGCAAAGCACAAACTCTGGACGGACCTCCAAAATGTACTTTTGCAGCCTCCAAAAGCACGTTTTGGATCGTCTGCAGCGAAAACGCCCGGAGGCGAGGAGTCTTCTCAGCACAATACTGCAGATTTTCTCTGCTTGAAGACACACTTTTCCAGCCTGCAAAAGCACGTTTCCCATGGTTGTGAAGAAAAGAACACCAGCTGAACCTGGGAAACACATTGGCGCCGCTGCGGAGCTTGCTTTCTGTCGTCTCGCCGCGCGACTGTTCCGGAAAAGCATTGAAAATGTGCTTTTGCGGCCTCCAAACTCACGTTTTGGATGGTTTCCGACAACGGAACACCTGCGGAATCCTGGGAAACGAACTGCAGGGGATAAGACTACACATACAAAACACGCGTTGTTTCAACGATCCGCCACCAACCAACATCGTTTTGAATGCATGCGGCATGCAGCAAAAACACCCACCCTGCCGAGGTTTTCGCGTCGATCACTTGCCTTCAAGCGCTTGAACAGACGCGCAAAGCACCGATGCGGCGAAGCCAAATCCTCTGGCCCTGCCAGCACTTTCACAACTTCGCAGCCAAAAAGCGCGATTTCAAGCATGCACGCCGAAAGCCGGAAACCACGGCCCTGCCGACGTTTCATGCACTTTTCAAGCTTCCAAACATCCCCAATTTGCAAGTAACGAACTGCGAATTCATTGGCCCTGCCGATGCAAAACGCACCTCCGCGCGTACAAGTGACCAGGCAACTCTTTGCACAAGTGACCCGGCAAATCTTTGCACAAGTGACCGCTCTGCCAGCACCATATTCATTAACCCAAGGCCGTCGATGGCCGTTTTGGGTTTGTCCTATCAAGCTGGGAAACAACTGAGACAGGCTGCACCGGACAGACAACATCTTGCAGCTGAGCCACCATGTATGCTTCCGCGTCCTGGACTTCACGTGAATGCGCTTGCCAAATCCAGCAATGACTGATGATTCCCGGGCTCCCAATAAGATCAACAAAAGGGCCCAGGGACTCGGAATCTCTGGGTACCAGGCCCGTACCATGTCGGGGTTTAGATTTTGCATGTATGCACACATAGAGCTGGGTGTGTACATATACATATGTGGGAGTTTCCGAAAATGGGGGTACCGAATTTTGGCGGTCCTAAGAATAAGGATCCTACTATTTAGGGTACTATCTTAGGGTCCCTATTTTCGGAAACTCTCATGACATATAGGTTCCCACAGACTTGGGACCTCCTCTCCAAGACACTGACAACCAACACTCACCGAGCCTCTCCACTGAGCAGATCGACTCTACCCTGTTATGCGGGTGGTCGTCAAAATTAGGATCCCTTGTTGGGTACCCTAAATATTAGGTGCCGCATTATAAATAAGGACTCAAGCTGGGACCCTAATTTTGACAACCACCCATGTAGCCCTTCAAAAAGTTTCAGAGCTGCAGGAATCAAGTGGAGAGCTTGTTTGGCCTCGAATGGATGGCGGCATAGGGTGATGATACTGTAATGCCCTGCAGAGGCCTTGAGCAAACCACAACATTTGTCTGCCTCCCTGTCTGTCTCCGTCGATCTATTCGACTGCCCGTCGCAATTCGATAATACTTACAGGAGTTGGCCAGTAAATTCCGCACGCCGAATACGCTTGAAAAAAGGAGCTGGTGAAGGAACGTACTCGACACATCGAGGGACTCGACCATTGTCTTGGATACATTCCCAACCAGGAACCAATCAGATGCATGAGGGAATTTATAAGGATCCTACTCTTTAGGGTACTATATTAGGGTACCCTATTTTCGGAAACTCCCATGAAGTCAGCGCCACGGCCACACTTGCTCTACAAGCTGAAAAAGTGCCCTTTCGACCTGGATCACCCAAGCGACTCCTTGGCATCCTCGTCGTCTTCGTCATAGGCGATGCCCAGACCTGGAAGCAGGAGATCTCGATTTAAGGTCGCGGGATTGAAGGATTCGGGGCTCCGCGGCCCTAAGCTTTGGGGCTCTGCTTCTCAACAGAGGACTCCGGCGCACAAACGGAACATGACCATTGCAAAGCTAGGAACTGTAGATGCATCCCAGAAGTTATGCAGCACCGTTCACCCTCATGGAACTTCGACAAGAAGCCCTTCAACGCCTCCTTCGTTTTCAGCATCAAGAAACCTCTGCGAAGCCTGCTGAATCCAAAATCCTCCTGCCAAAACGGCCCTCCATCAATCTTACAACAGGTAGGGAGGGACTATTCGGACACCAGCAGGAAACCCCAAGCCTTTTTCTGGAGCCTTTCGCAGAACCTGGAGGCCTGAACTTTGCCACACCCCAAATACAACATGTACAACATGGAGGCTGTTATAGCTTAAGAGCAAGAATTGAAGTTTTTAGGGTGTGAAACATAGTACCAACACATGGAGCCTTCAGGAATAATGTGGGTAATTCTATTTTGAAGCTCCCAAAACGGCCGTGCACTTCCGCGCCTTCTGCTACCAAGGACATGGCTGTCGGCAGGGTGCCCCAGCCCCCCCGACCCAAGCCCCTACAACTTTGAACAAAATCAGCTGCAAAGGGGTGAGAAGAACAATCAATAAAGGAAAAGACGTGTCTGTCTTTCGAGCTAAATACCTGGCTGTCCTGAAGGCTGGGAGTGAGAGGAAAGTGCACTGCTGGGGCCTGATTGTATGGGATCTTGCGAAGACCCAAAATACTTCTGTACTCCAAGCCCTACTTGGAGGTTCATGGGTAGTTATAGCCTAGTTATGAGGGTGGATATATCTAGGGGAAGTATACTTATAACCCCAATTAAGGACTTGTAACCCCACTTATAGCTACCCCTGAACCTCCAAGTAGGGTCCTAGACCCCACTCCCAGCAGTCTTTCGAAGCCAAGCGAGCGGAGTGTCTGCCAGGCGGGGAACAGCGTCCATACAATATAGGGGCCTGAATAATTAGGGGTTTGGGGTATATTGTACTATATTTATAGTAAGGAACCCCAAAACCCATTAAGGCCCCTACATTACTTTCGCAAATGAAAACACTTCTGCCTGCAGCAGGTCCTGAGGGCAGGTTTGATAAGATGCAGCCCTAAACCCAAACCCCCCAAAACCGGGCCTGTTGCCAAAGGCATGTTCGCAAACTCTCGTGTGCATGGCAGCCGTAAACAAAAACCCAAAACCGTCCGGAGTTGAAACGGGCTCCAAGCCCCTGTAAGGTCTGGGACTCCGAGGTTCGGCTTATCAGCTGAGAAGGGGTTCTAGGTCCGGAGCTTGATACCTAGAGACCCTGATCCCCTAAACACACGAAACTCTAAAGCACCTAAGCCCAAAATCTCCCTCTCTTTCTATATATATGTATATGTACACATATTAACACATATATTCATGCATACATATGCACATAATATATATATATATATATATATATATATATATATAACCAAAACACTAAATCCTCAAAGGCCAAACCCTTAAATCCCTACCAACCCGGCAACCCCAACACCTCCCCTTTTGCACCAACAACTCGGACACACCAGCGCGTCGAAGTGCGTGAAGAGCATTGCCTGGGCAAAGAAGCAGAACACCAGCTTTAATATAATTTGTAATTCGGATGAGACGGCCAGTAGTATCGCCATTCCCTTATCGCGCTTTTGAGTAACGGTAGAATCTACTCCACAAACCCAGTTCTGATGGCGAAGACGTTACGATGGGTTTGGACTTTCGGTTGGGGCTGTTGGGGTTTAAGATTCAGGGCTGGAAGGGCGCGGTTTCGTTTGCTGAAGGTTCAAGGCTCTTTGTGGCTTTGTAGAGGCTCAAGGTTTCGGGCTTCGGGACATTTAAGCTTAAGGTTTAACGGTCCCCGGAGCCATGCTTGAAGTGGAAATCTTCAAGCTATGAAAGCAGGCCAGCTTTGTGTGAGCCAAAACGACCGTAGTACACGATCCTATGCAAGTATATTATTTTTATAACATATTGTATGATATGCGTAATGGAAGCCAGTAATTATGGCTAGTACCAAACCAACTCTAGTTCTACTCAGTTATGACTCCCCATTACGCTGCTTGCAACCTAACTTACTAAGTCCCACCCTCCGAGGTAGATAAGCTCAGTCCTTTGGCCCAGATTGATACAGCGTGCGCCCGCGAAACTGAATTACCTCAAAACCAAAGACAAAAACCCAAGACTCTGACTCGAAAAAGCCTGCGGAGCTGAACCAATGTAGAGCCCGGCCTTCAATAGTTAGAGTAATGTTTGTTAGGGTTCCTCACCACAAAGCTTTGGAGTATACCTACCACGGAACCTTGTTCTAACTATGCAGGCCACTCTTTCCCCCCAGCTCTGTGATCAGCACTCGGCCTTTATGGCCTGAATAAATGGGACAGGTTTTCGGGGCACTTTTATTATATACCGATAATGCGGGCGATCAGGGGATACTAAATGGAATAAGTAAGATACCGACAGTATGCTGCGAAGCGGCGGTCTAGCTCAAGATTCTGCTGCTGCATTGTCTGCAAAAGTTCAAGGGCCTCCTCCCAAAGCACCTCAGACGGAGAGTCCAAGACTTTTCATATTTTTTCAAAACAGGGGCATGAATGATTCGAACACAGCTTGGGGGTATGCTATACTGCGATGAGAATGAGTGAATCAGACTCGTAATTCTTCAAGCCTCTGCCTTAGAAGCTGCCCTCACCCTGTAAAAGTGACTTAGGGCCCTATTCTATTCCTATTATACCACTATTACAGGGTGGGGGCAGCTTCTAACCTCTGCACTTCAAAGTTTGGGACTCTTTTGAATCCTAAACCGCAAAGCAGGCTCAGGACCTGGATTCGACGGGGTCGATCCCCTGAAAATGCTTCAGCGAAACCGCACAAAGCAACATAGAAGTCAAACCAAAATTCCAAAATTACCACTACAGTAATATTCCTTCGGGTTCCATACTTTTCTCGTAATCTACTCCAAAACCCGACTCTGATCATCAAGGCCCCTTTCAGACCTGACAGCGGTTGACTTGGAAACCTCAGAGCCTAGCATTCTAGATATCTGTAAGCTGTAATTATACCGCAATACACGCGGACCTATTCAAATCAAAACGAGCCCAACAAAAGAAGCTATTGTAAAACCCTACCGAGACCCCATAGACCCTTTGTGTGTAAGTATATGTCCGAATAGACCCTTGAGAGCCCTACCAGACCCTAAAATCTCCCTGAACCCTAAACGCTTTACCCTATTCGACCCATCAACCCCTTGATAGTGGCCCGTATGGTACTTCGATACGACCCTTGCAATACCCGTCGTACACTGTGACATCGTTTTGAAGCTCAGCGCCGGCTGGGCATTGCCACAGGCGGTCAAGGCCACGGTGTAAGTGATGAGGTCTGGCGTTACCTGCGCTAAAGAGTGCCTTCGGGCTGGGCTTAGGGTTTTAAGGTGTGTGGTTTAAGGTTGCTCACGCTGAAGCACTCGACACGCAAGGTCATCGAGGTACACAAGAACTGGGGTCACCGCCGCACAACTGTAGTGGCACTGGCTGGGGAAATACACCATCAGAAATGACGAAAAAGTATACACATCGCTTTAGGCCTCGCAGTAGAGCGGCTCCAAAGGTGATTGATTGGTCTAACCGTCCAGTATTTGAGTGCATTACTCAAACCATATCTGGACTGCACTCCAATGCAGCACTTTGAAGCTTCCGATGCCACAAAAGGCCCTTGAAGCCTGGCAGTACCGCGAATCCGTAAACCTCAAACCCTGGTGCCTGTGCGGTCTTCATCTCCTCCATAATCTGCAGTACAAGATTCAGGCGTCCGAGCTTGGCGCAGGCGTTGGCAGCAGTGTTGAAACCTGTTCTTTTTGCTTCCGGCAGTGGGCTTCCTGTTCAGGGCTTTAGTTCAAGGACAAGCTGTCAGGGTTTGGGGTCCAGCGCCCAGATTTTCAGATCTGGCATTAAGATGTGGGAGGGTTCAGGGCATTCATCGGGGGTCTGTGGTGACTTCAGGTTTGGGGCTTGGGGTTTGCGGGCAAGGACTTGCAGCCCAAGTCATAGGCGAGAAGCCTTAACACTCCTAAGCTCAAAGCCGCTGACCATAGCGAAGACGATGATGCAGACGCCGATGATGGGGAGTGATGAGTGATTTCTGGAGCCTGAACCCCTTAGCGTTTAGGGTTCCTGCAGAAACATCCCCAAACCCTAAACCTTAAAGCACCGAAACCCTACTAAACCCCACGACCACACCGAAATTAAGCTTCTAAACTCCGAAAGCGGTTCTTGTTAAGGGGCTTATATAATTCACAGAACAAGGAAACCACATTAATTACTATAGATCCCTACTACGGTAGCTTAAGCCAAGTTCCTTAACAAGAACAGAGTCATAGGCGTAAAGACGCCCCCCTGTTGGCTCGGGCCGGGGCTCACATCGTTCCGCTCCGTCATCGACTGCAGCCAGACCAGCGCCTTCTCCGCGTCACCGGATCTGGCGTAGGCCTGCTGAAGTAATGCAAGGGCCCAAATAATTGGACTAGGGCTCCGTTAAAGGGGTCTATAAAGGCTACTACAGGGGATCTATAAGGTTCAGGGGGTAGTTATACGTAGGGTTATAAGTCCCCTAATTGGAGTTATAAGTAGAGTTGCCCGAGTTATAACCCCAGCTATAACTATCCATGAACCTCCATCTAAGGGCCTTAACAATTAGACTAGGGCTCCTTTGAAGGGGTCTAGAACGGCTACTGTAGGGGATCTAGATGGGTACTATAATATGGGGGACTTAACAATTAGACTAGGCCTCCTTTAAAGGGGTCTAGAAAGGCTACTCTAGGGGATCTATAAGGGACTATGATATGGGGGCCTCAATAATTAGGCTGGGGCTTTGGGATGTTTTATTATCCTATACTTATATAAAAAGGAACCGTCAAACGAGGATAGGTAATTATTAGGGCCTCTATGGTACTGGAAAAACCTCCACCGAAAGCTGACATAGAAGCCATCTCATAATCACCATAACTATAGCCGCTATAATATCACAGTACCGTTATGTCGAGAGACTAGGAAAACACCAGAAGTTACTACCGCGAATCCTCAGCCCTTGACTTTGAAGCCGCGACCTGGACCCCTTACCTCTGGCCGAATGCTGCAAACCGGAGTGAGATGTGCAGTGTTTCAGGTTTGGATTGGTACGGGTGATGATATCAATCCTGCATTACCCATAATAAGGAATATACCATAATTCCCATAGTTTAGGGTCCTTAAGGTAATGCAGAATTTATATCATCAACCGTACGAATATGAACTACCAGCAATCCACGCCTTCAGCACCATGTTGGAGCTCGCCACGTCTGCATCGAAGCCGTGCTGCTGCATGGCGTGGATCCACATGCGAGTGGATGCAACGTCACCTTCTGGGTGTTTCGGTGCAGGGAACCCTAACTTGAAGCAAGCTCTACAATGCCTGGCCAAGTAACATCGCAAATACTGGAGCCTGAGCCCTGGACCGCAGCCTTTGAGTTCATCCGTCACCACGGTATAAAGACCCTGAAGCGAACACTGCAGCCCATACATCCCCGAACCTGAGCGGTAAACAAACAATCATCGGAGGAATTACCTGAGGCTCCCATCCAATCCATTGTAGTTTGGCGCCGGTCAAAAAAACAGGGTCCAGGGGCTTGCGCACTCCAAACACTTGCAGGACGCTTCTCAGACCAGAGCCCGCCCAATATAGCGGTCTTAATAATTAGAACAGGGCTTTGGGGTATAACATACTATAACCACATATAAATACACGACGGAACCCCAAAAGTGTTGATAACGCTTTTTGCCCCTATTTGCTGGGCCTCTTCCTGCACAGGAGTTCATGACCGTCTTGAAGAAGACCCGGTCCAGACTCACTTCGGTCTGCGAGGAAAAGGCTGGGGAAGTAGAGCCAAGATCTTCAAAGACTCAACCTGGGGCCTTGGTTCATAAACCTCCACGAACTGACTTGTACTGTATTATGCTTTGCTATAGTTTATGTGTGCTCTTTACTACTCTGTATCGCAATATAATATACTGTATTCTACGGTACACGTCCTCATCAAGCGGTTGAGGACATGGGAATGAGCCACGGTAGCTTCGTGTGGAAGACGGTCCGAGACATTGAGGCTTGTTGCAAAGTCAGGGATTTAGCCTTCGTTGGAATTCACTCAGGAAGTTTTGGAGGAATCTTCCGGGTTAAGTTGGCTAAGAAAAGGAATGGCTTCTCTTTGCCTTCTGCGGCTTCTTGGGGTCGTTATGTTTATCCTGAAGTAAGTGAATGGCTCGTAGGTCGTCTCCCGGAAAAACCGACCTGAGTTATGTTTCCTTCAGAAACTCCAGACGTCCTTTGTACCAAACTTAGGGTTCACAATTTAGCTGTGACTCCCGCCGACTCCCAGTACTATCCTTGCGTGTCTGAACGAAGGATTCAGGATTTCAGGACTCAGACCGCCGATTTCGTGGGCCAAGCATCAAGCGGCAACCCTAAGCCGTCAACCCCAAACCTCGAAACCCCGAAAGCCAAGCCAAGGCAAGCCGAGAACCACCGGGCTCGAAGGAATTCTGCACTGTGCGAGCCCCCTCAAAAACCACACGCTCTAGATCATAACCTCCCTCTATAGTAACCCTGATCGCTTCCCGTCATAGTATCCCCTTTAATTGCAGCATCCCTTGTAGGGAACCCCTGATCGTAACCCGAAGTGCACCTTGAATCGCTCCAGGCACTCGAGGGCGCCGTCGACGTCGCCACGGCGGGTGTAGCATTCAGCTACTGCCTCGGTCCGAACAGCAAACAGAACTTAGCAACATCCATAATGCACTGTTAACACTCCCCCCTCCCGTATTCATGAAGCTCATGTCCCGAACAGGTGTATGTAGAGTCTATCATCCACTCGGATCTGTGGTAATTTTGGCAGCTTTCGACCCTTGTCGCTGGAGCTTTGCAAGGCTCGGTCTAGAGTAGCCTTCAGCTTTCAGGTTCCAGTTGAAGAAGCTTGCCTCATTCAACTAATCTCTGCAGTCTCGGATTCCCGGGACCCTTTTTTAAGGATCCCTAGGTATATACCCTTAATGTAGCTATTATATACCCATTATATAGCCCATTCTAGGGTAGGGGCTCATGGTTCCGGGGCTCGGCCTGGGCTTGAACTTATGCGTTCGGGCCTCTGGGATGATTTAGGCCCAGCTGTGCCGCGGGGTTCCTTCAAGGGATCCATAAGGGCTCTATAACTCTATAAAGGCTCTATAACTCTATAAGGGCTCTATAACTCTATAAGGGCTCTATAACTCTATAAGGGCTCTATAACTCTATAAGGGCTCTATAACTCTATAAGGGATCTCTAGGGTTTAGAGGCTTGGGTTTGGGGTTTAAGGGTTTAGGGCTTAGGGCATGAGGGTTTAAAGAAACCCTCACCAGAAGCCGGGCTCTGGGTTTCGGCTGGCACTCGGATCTACTTGGAGGTTCATGGGTAGTTATAAGTAGGGTTATAAGTCCCCTAATTCGGGTTATAAGTATAGTTACCCTACTTATAATCCCACTTGCTTTTACCCGTGAACCTCCAAGTAGGATCCATCAGCTTCATTCGAGCCTTCGGCCCCCTTCGCTGCAAGGGCTCCCGCAGCTGAGGGCCAGGAGAAAAGCCTCGAAGAGCCTGAACCTCCGAAAGCCTCAAGTCCCCCATTCTAGGCTTCGCCGCAGAGGACCGGAAGCTTGATATAGGGAGTCTAAGAATTAGAATAGGGTTTTGGGGCCCATCATACTATCATCGTTAGAAGGCACCCCCCCAAGAATAGAATAGGCCACTATTGAGGCCTCTATATATTAAACGCATCGTCCCTGTCCAAGGGACCGTGAGAGATACCACGTCGGGCTTCAGAGTCTGCGCCCGCATTGCTTGCAGCAGCTCCCTTGCCACAGACGCGTTCTGGGATTCTGTCTGAGCTGCTTTGAGGTTCCTGGGTAGTTATGAGTAGGGTTATTAACTAGGGTATAACCCTAATTAGGGGACTTACATGTAACCCCGCTGATAACTAGCCATGAACCTCCAAGTGGAGGAGGCCTCAGAGTTGATCATGAGAGCCGTAAGGGTGTAGGTGCATGTTCCCAGACCGATGATGTGTGCGAGGCCGTCTTCATGAGTGCGCTTTGTCAGGTGTGTCTGAGGGAGCAAGCTTCACGCAAGGGCGTGCCTCGGGGGAACTACGGCTGATGATATAAATCCTGCATTACCTTAAGGACCCTAAACTATCGGAATTATGCTATATTCCTTATTATGGGTAATGCAGGATCTATATCACCAGCCGTATTTAGGGCCTGATTCTTGCAAGCTTAGAAGTTCCGGGAGAACAGCTCGGTGATGAAGATCTCAGGTCTGGGTGTAGCATCCCTAAACCCCACTATGCTCCCTTGGGAACCCCTTCAAGGCAGCCTTAAATGAACCCTTGAAGGAGCCCGATTCGAATTACCAAGATCACACGGAAACGACGAGGCCTCGTCTCCGTGATCCGGCCCTCCTGGTAGAGATTGGGCTCATGCACTGGGGAGTAGGGTTGAGGGTTCAAGGTTTGGGGTCGGCTGTGGGCTTCCTGCTGCGTTGCCTCCTGGTTTGGGTTGACGGATCTACCTTAGTGTTCCTGACTCAGTTAAGTATACTAGATACCCCAGAGCCCTCTTCGAGTTATTGAGGCCTACCTTCCCTCAGATAGCCTGTCGGTTTAAGGACCTATGAGGACAGAAGTCATAAGAAGGAACACCAAACATGTAGGGTTCTCTTATACTTCTAGTACAATGGACCCCAAAACCTTATTCTAATTCTTCAGGCCCAAAAACTATCTCTGGGGTCCAGGTAGGGTTTGGGGCTTTTTTGTTAGAGCTTCGGCCGAGGTTGGTGGCCGAAGCGGAAAAGAGTCGGACGTCCGAGGATATGAAAAAACAGGAGATACGGTTGATAATATAAATCCTGCATTACCCATAATAAGGAATTTATCATAATTTCCATACTTTAGGATCCTTAAGGTAATGCGGGATTATATCATCAACCGTAGTATCGTGTGATATTATATAGTCCAGTGTAACATAGCTTGCTCTAGTGCGATATAATATGAGATAACAGAACATAAGTCACAGTATTACATAACATAGCCGAGTGCAACACTAAACTAGTGAGTTATAATATGAACAGTAGTGTAGTGGACTCTGGCAGTTGGATTCTTGGCCCCTAGACGAAGGGAGATCGAGCCACAGCTTAAAACCTTCTGCCGCTGAACCCGGACAACCCTGAAACCCTCAAGATACCGTTCATGATATAGATCCTGCATTACCTTAAGGATCCAAAACTATGGGAATTATGGTATATTTCTTATTATGGGTAATGCAGGATTGATATCATCAACCGTATGAAATATGGTGACCCACGGATGCCGCCTTTTGACTGCATCTCTCCCATGCCTGCACTGGCTGACTTTGGCCGAGGTTCCGAGCTCTGAGATCCGGATCGTTGCCACCCCAAGGGTGCTTCTGTATGGAATCGAAAAATCAACAAGACCCTGTATATATGCAACACTCTACAGAGGAATATGGTCTATCTACACGTCGATCACAGCCTGTCTGCGTGCTTTTTATCTATTGTTTGTCTGTGTACCATAACCAGTGACCGAAACTGACGTATGTGCTACATCCATCCGCATGTGCTTACACCATCAGGAGTGGCTGCTGGCTAGATACCCCTCACTTGAGTAGAAGAAGTGCATGTATGCCGTCTGCCTATATCTGTGTATGTGCAGATGGGTGTGCAGATAGAAAGGGCCTAGCCGCCTAGCCTAACACTCGAGAAGTACCCATTTCGAGGGAGCTCCCAGACAGGCCGGAATCCTCACCTCCTCCTCCTTTTAAGCACTCCTCGTTAAAGGGGTCCTTACAACCACCAAAGGCCTCGCGATGTAGGGATGTATATAAGGGTCTCTATTCTCTGGAAACTCCCACGGTAAGATAGATCCTGGATCGACTCCTTCTTGTGTCCATAGAATTTGTTCGCACCAGCGCGAGAATGCCGGAGGCAGTCAAAGATGTAGGCTGGTTTGCGACAGTTCGAACTCAGCAAGGGCATTCATCAGCAGGAGGGACGCCAGCATGACTATGAGCGCGTTCATCGGATGATCCTCTCAGACCGCATTTACGGTTCGGGGGTCTTAGATGCTTAGCAAGCTCTAGCTGTCCTGAACGTAGCCGAAAATCGCACCGAGAGTTGTGGACACAATAACCGGCGTAGGTGTCGACCTGCGTCATCAGTTTGATGGGGCCTCCATGTTTGAGGGGGGTCGGGTTCGAGAGGTCTTGTCCTTCGGGCGCCTGCAGTTCATGGGATCACGGCATAGCGCTTGCAAACATGCTCCACCGCGAGATGCAGACGGGCTCAGGAAGTTTAGGGAACTGCTGAATCAGTCGAAGGCACAGTGCATCGTCGACTTCAGAGAAGATCTCGCCGAAGAGAGTGACTATGAGCCAAATGAGAAACACGTAGCCGGCAGCAGCAGCAAGAGCCAGAGCAGCAGCTGTGACCACAACCGTGATGCAGCAGAATCGATAGCTGGATCGCGCCATTCTCGCTTTGTTGCTTCGGGAGCCCCGTCTTGGGGATCCAAAGACAGTGCGGATCTTATGGTGCCGGCGTGCCTAGCAGCTTATCTGTCGTTGTGTGGTCGTTCCCATTGCGGATAGGGTCGAGTTTGCAAGTGTGACTGTGATGCTATCGTCACCTATCTGTCCAGAGTCTTAACTCAGCCTGAGGTTCTCCCAACGCTACACCGACTCCGTGACCATGCAACGTCAGTGCGACCATTCTGAAACGATGGTTGCTTGAGCCAAACGTTTGAACAGGGTGCCTGCCTTTCAATCTACACATATCCTGCAAAGGCAATAATTCTTGGTAAGGGTTTAGGGTTTCAATTATTGGTAAAAGGGCTTTGGGATACAAAACAAGCACTTTCCTGTGATGATCTCGCCAGTATTTTGACCTCTGTAGTATCGTACCCTAAATAGTAGGAACCCTATTATAAGGGACCCCAAAGTAAGGTACCCCTAATTTTCGGAAACTCCCATTTTGACCTCTGTAGTATCCTGCATCTAGGCCTCTGAGGTCGGTGACCTTGAGGCTGAAGCTGTTCGCCGGGGGTTGCAGTGGGAACTGCTAGGTTGACCGGGGAAAGCACTTGGAGGTTCAGGGGTAGTTATAAGTGGGGTTATACGTGGTTTAGGGTTCCTTTGAGGGTTCCTTTAAAGGTTCTATAGGGATTAGGGTTTAGGGTAGTTAGAAGTGGGGTTATAAGTCCCTTAATACGAGTTATAAGTAGAGTTGCCCTGTTATAACCCCACTTATTACTACCCATGAACCTCCAAGCAAGAGAAGACGAAGGATGCACCCGTGGGGTGTTCGGGCCATTCCGAGCTCACAGACCTGTTTGCAATGGGTGTGGTCTTGTGCCAAGCAGAATCCAGAATCCAGAGCTCCCCGCCCCATTGGTCGCTTATGTCCCTGATGCCCTTTTCAAAGCTACTTACGGCTTTCTCGCCATTTCCTGAGAGCTTCAGTCGAAGAGCTGCGGGACTTTTCGCCTGAATACGGAAGGAACCTCCTTTTTGAAAAGCCTGTATAAGATCCCCTATGCTACCCCTTCTAAGAACCCTTTTGGTACCCTTCCCTCCCTCTTAAGGACACTTGTAGTAGAGGTCCAAGATAGCGGGTCTCCTTGGCAAAACCATTCAAAAGCACGTTGTACTCGTGCAGGCCAGCAGTGATTCCACATCTGAGTGCGCATCACACAGGGACAACTGATTTACGGTTTCTATGGTGTAGGGAGATGCTGAACTTAGGATTGCATTCCAAGTTCCTGAAGGAACATGAGGGAAACTGTAAGCCGAAAACAACCGCACTTTCTCTCTTCTTCTCGCAGTAGTGATGGGGGAGTACTGTCGCTTCGGCTTCTCTAGCTGATAGGTGGCCAGGGCACTGTTCAAATGTGCGAAGCCAAAGCAGTGCTGTTGCGCAGTCGCCACTTCGAGTGAAGGCGCTGACCTTGATGTCTGTGTGTATGTATACACACATACACACATACATGCACACACACACACATCCATCCATGGCAAGAGTGATTCTTTTTTGCTGTCGCTATTTTTTTTGCTGTCGTTGCGCGGCGCGCTTCTTTTTTTGCTGTCGTTGCAGCGGCGCGTTTCTTTTTGCTGTCGTCCCTGCGGGGCGCGTTTTTTTTTTCGCTCTGATGGCGGGGGTGCGATTTTTTTGTTTGCTGTCGGGTGCTTGTTCTTTACTACTACTACTACTACTACTACTACTACTACTACTACTACTACTACTACTACTACTACTACTAGTACTACTACTACTACTACTACTACTACTACTACTACTACTACTACTACTACTACTACTACTACTACTTTGTCGTTGCGGGGGCGCATTTTGTTTTTGCTGTCGTTGCGGGGGCGCGTTTTTTTTTGCTGTCGTTGCGGGCACCGGGGTTCACTCACTCACTGGCTTCCTGGATCCGCGCAACGAGAACAAAAAACATGAAGGCAACTACAGCAAAAAAACACTGGTTCCATCCATCCATCCATGCCTGCATGCATACATAAACATGTACATATATTAGTATTACAATATACAAACAAAAACATAGGTTATAACATAGCACAATGAAATATAACAATGTCATACTGTGCTATATTGCATTAATTTTATTATATATATATTAATATATATATATATATGTATAAAATATAAATACTACATTATGCTGTTGTACACAGACATACGCCCACAACACACACTCACACTCACACCAACAACATCACTTGCAACAACAACAACAACAAACAACAACAACACCAACAACATCACCAACGCAACAACAACACATCAACGACAACAACGACAACAACGACAACAACAGCAACCTCAACAACAACAACAACACATGTGTGTATACTTATATACACACATATAGATATATACGCATCTGCATATTAAAGCAGTTGTACAAGTATGTTTCATGCTGTGCCTTGTACACTCCCATGTATACATGCACAAGACTGTTTGACTGTTTGTATATACACTATACAGATATGTGTATGTGTGTGAACAGTAGACTATCGCATCATTAAGATAGTATAAGATAAACTGACATGACCTGGATGCCGACGCTAAGGGCAGGCTCGAATTTGGGGTTCTCAAACAGAGATGGTACGTGGGTGAAGGGCTGAGTCTTTTCAGGGATACGGCTCCCCGGATGAAATACCTGCCGTCGGCACACAGGCCCAACGCTTTTTTGTGTTCGGTCAGCCCTGTCTGGATCACCAACAGAAGATGCACGCACGCTCTACAGCTTCGGAGGTGTTTATGCGCTACAGAAGCTGCAAACATGCTCGTGCCAGATTGGGGGTGACATCGTGGCCACGAGGTGTAAAGTAAGCAGTAGATAGATAATTTTTCTGTTGAGAGGTCCGCCCAAAGCACATAGGCCGGGCGAGGATGTCACTAGTTCAACCCAGTTTACACTGATCCTGAATTCAGGACTGTACATCCTGCTGGCATAAGCTATGACCCTTCTGCAACATTCCACGAGATACCCAAGGCAGCCGCTGAGGGAGGGCCAAGGGTCAACTGAAGCACCCCGAAGATGCAGATTAGAGCTTGGAGTTGGGAGATGGGCCAGGACAGACGGGATAGTTCATTCAGTACACAACTCAGGTCGAATCACAAGTCGCGAGTCAGAACATCCGCACCGACTACGAAAGCAACGGTCGAGGTCGCAATTATTACCGATAACATCCCGTTATGGTCACTGTAGTACAGTCGAGCACCCCCCCTAATAGTCCTTGTTCTGAGGATAGTGTACAAAGCACCCCCCTTCTTGCTCCAATTATGTTCATGCTTACTTGCCAAAAAGTTAACCTTCGGGATGAGACGGGGACTTTTCAAATAGTACCGTAGGTCAAAGGTCACGGACGACCAACACGCAACTCGAAGAGGCCTCAATCTCGAAGTTCTTCGTCCCCAGCCCGAAGAAAACAGTCTCCATTCGATGGCACATACTGTATACCGTATTGCCGAAGTACAGAAATCTATCTATATATGTAGGTACACATGTGGATGAGCCATATGAATGATATGTAACTATTTATACATGCACACATGGATGTGTGTATATGAACATATGCATATATCTATATGTATATGATGTGAGTCAAAGAGCCAGCAAATGAGAAGTGATGCCGTTGGCTTGAAGCCCATCCTCGGGAAAAAAAAGTGAGCTTCCTTCTCTTCATCATTCGTCGTGTTGTCTTTTCTTGCACTTCTGGTGGTGGTTGCCTGGTTTGGGTGTGGGGAGTAGGAGACTTGCAGGGCTGATCTTGTGACCCCTGCTATATTTCATAGTAAAGCTTGCTTGGCGTTATTGCTGCGACTCCCTACGTACTCTCCTTAAATCCTAGAGCCCCCAACCCAAGCGACCCAAACAGGATGCTCATATCTGGGAGGTTCATGGCTAGTTATAAGTAGGGATATAGGTCCCCTAATATGAGTCATGCGTATAAATCCCCCTACTTATAACCCCACTTTATAAGTAGGGCTATACGTCCCCTAATGTGAGTTATAAGTATAGTTACCCCACTTCTAACCCCACTTACTTACAACTACCATTGAACCTCCAAGTGACAGATTCTGAATACACTTCGGTGGCAATCTCAATGCTCGCATCGCAGGAACCCCGGACATCGAATCTATTGCTTGTGTATACATGGCTTCCCGAAGGTGTTCTGAGGCCTATTCAAGGGTTCTGAAGCCAGGAGTACCTATTTTACGCGTCCTCGTCTTACTTGTCCAGTATCTTCAGGGAACCAAATGTGTTTGGGACTTTGTAGGGCTTATACTTGTAATACACCCCAAATTAGTTAAAGCTGGACTATTCTACTACGAAGCTCTGGTCCTTGTTACTCCCGCATCTTCGAAACTTCCAGATCTGAAGTGCAAGTTGAATCCCTAGAAATTCCATGTACTGAAAGAGTATTATATACTTTGGCCCCCAATGTACCTAAGTGGGGACTGGGTTCAAGGTCAATGTACATATTATTTGGGTACATGGGCCCTTGGGGAATGGGCGTTCGGCTTCGAAGGGCAGGAATGCGAAACGGAACTTCATTGACGTGGGAACCTTGATAGTGATAGTGAGAGTGGGGTCTAGAGCTATCTTCTAGTAGAACATCCATGTAGGGGCCGAAACGGATTTATATATTATGAACTTGTCGACCTCTAGATTCGGTCTAGCTGAGGAAGGGTTCAAACAGCTCAGTCGAATCCGTGAGGACGTCTGTCGAAACCGATTTACGGAAGGATTCGGAGGAACTCAGTGCCGCGACTCTTCCCATGAAGCACGGCATGTTGGATATCTGGATACCGGATGTTGGGAAGGGGTCCCTTAAGCCCTGAATCCGTACACCCTATACACAGCACCAGTAAATCCCAAGCATCAAGACAGTGCTGCACTCCAAAAGCCTCGAAGCCCTAAAGCCCCAGCCCTGAGCCCTCAACTCTATCAACCCCTGGCCCTAAGCCCTAAATCCCAAACCCCAAACCCTAAACCCCAAACCCTAAACCCAAAACCCCAAACCCAAAACCCCAAACCCTAAACCCAAAGCCCCAAACCCTAAGCCCAAAGCCCAGATTGCATCCCTGCCTCGACCAGCCGCGCCAGCGTCCGCACGGCGTGAGCAGGCTCTGAGGCCCTCTCAGGTGAGGAACTCTAGGGTTGCTATCAGTAGTCATGAAAATAGTAAGAGTAATTGTGCTAGAAATAATAAGAACTATCAAGATTTAGTTGTCATAGGTAGAACGAATAGTAAGTAGTATAATAGCAGCAGTGATTAGCCTCATTAATGATTGGAACAACGATAACAGTAATGTTAATGACTATGATTGTAGAAAATGATCAGTATTGTTATTCTTTTTACTACGACTACGCTGATGGTTATAATGTCAGGGTTGAGGGAGTGTTCTGGGAGGGCTCAGGTTGAAGCGTGCAGGATCTTGGGTTCAGGACTTAAGGCTGCGGACTTTGGGTATTGGTACTGACGGCTAAGGGCGGAAGGGTTCGGGATGTTAGACCGAAAGGTCGGGTTTAGAGGGGCTGTAAAGATCGCTGAAGATGACGCTGCCCAGACCTCACGTAACGAAACCAGTGCTTTGCCTGAGCACCTAATGATTCGAAGGTGTCGCAAAGATCGACACCGGCAGCCCATTGACTTTACCGGCTGTTTTTGCGAGGGCGAGCCGTGCACTTAAGGAACGTGGCTTAGGGGGGGGGCTCAGTCTGGTGTGCACCGTGGACCCTTGAGATTCATTGCTTCAACAAGGGGACGTTGGGCCTTGATACCCCGGCACCCCGAGTCATGACCCCTCAGCCCTATAACCTCAACATCCCCGAACTCGAAACACCAACCACCCCCACACAGAGCCTCGCAAAGCCTTGTAGGAGGGCGTTGTACGATGGGAGCGTAGGCTGTAGGCTCTGCCGTTTCATGGCTCGCAAGCATTCCTGGCATCAGTACTTCCAGCCCCCCGCACCCTGAAGACTTCCTTCCGAATGAGGTTGCTTTTTTTGAGGCTGCTTCAGGGTCTTCGGATTTCGCACTTGGAGTTGCGGGTTTTGGGTTTGCCCAGAGACCCAGAAGCACGAAGCCCCCAAATCCCTAAAGGCCTAGGCCGAGCGAAAGAGCTGCCAGAGATCGCGGCTGATGCGACATAAAGGCCACACACTCCTTTATAGGCTCCATGTAGCCATATAGTATATACTTAGGCCCTAAAGTGCCTACATAGGGACCCCTTGAAGGCGTAAGTCTCTATACATAAAGCTACATGGAGCATTTGGGACTCTGACCAGGCTGAACTCCAATCCGTAGCTGTCAGCCGTGGCGATATGTGTTTAGGTTTTGCTTTTTTAAAGTGCATCGGCCTTTTCTCTGTGCAGCGTCGGCCTGCCTCATTAAGGCCTACACAGGGTTTAGGGTTCTGTGATAGTTGGTCAGTATGTAAAACTGCGAAGAAGGGCAGAAAGGGCAAACAAGTTTCCCTTGAGGGGGGGTGGGCGTGATGGGACTTCATGCTGACGCAAGCGCACTTTTATTCGGTTGGGGGCGCACCCAACGCACACACACTCAACCCTAAACCCTGAATCCCAAAACCCTGAACCCTAAACCCTGAACCCCACAACTTAAACCCCAAACTCTGAAACCCTAAATGCCACACCCTAAAACCCCCCGTCTTGGAGCTCCTCGGCTCGATCCATGTGGCCCTTGTCTGAATAGCAGGCGATGACCTGAGTAATAATAATAGTAATAATAATAGTAATAGTAATAGTAATAGTAATAGTAATAGTAATAGTAATAGTAATAGTAATAGTAATAGTAGTAGTAATAGTGGCCAAGAAAGGCACCCAGAATTTCTTGAACAGGCCGTTTCGGGGTGTAGGATGGCATGTTCTATACGAAGGAGCCCAAGCTGAGACTTGCATGCGAAAGGAGCACCAAAAGCCACGGTAGTCTGCCTTTACGGAACAGTTGGTCATCCCGAGCTCTCGCAGTGTTTTTTTGAGCCTGTCTGGGTATCAGACGCTTAGCCCTCAACCTGAAATCTAGAAATCCACAAGCCCCGCATTTGCGAGAGGCATACAGCTAAGTCTTGAAGAGCGCAGAATCCTGTCCCACCAAGAACCACCAAATCCGAGACTTCGGATCTTGGCGTTTTAGAGGGGCCTTACTGATTGGAGTACCTCCTGTCGTTAATTAAGGGGCCGTAAGGAATAGTATTGGCAATCATTGGAGCTTCTGCAGTCAGTTTTCACGATTGAGGCGAACGCTTAGCTCTGCAGGCCGTTTGAAAGATTCAAGTTATAGACAGATTCAAGGGGGGATGTTCTGACATCTGACGAACTCTTCGCCACCCTACCCCCCCCCCCCCCCTCCAAAAAAGAAGCCTCCGAAGGAAGCCCCTAAACTTTACAACGGCTGCCTCGAGATTCATTTCCCCCGAGTGGCAAGAACAGCATGCATCTGAGAGGCTGTGTTGAAGGAGATCGCATTGGGCTGCACGCTTTTCTGAGCAGTGAACATATGCGACTCACGTGGTTGACCTTCCGTGATATTCTGCTCCCAAAAGAGCAGCAGACATCGCCATGCTAAGTGCGAAGGCTTTGCGATGATACTGTGGAGAAACAAGACGACCACACGATGCACGACAGTTCATATACTGTGAGAGAGCAGGCGAAGAGCATGATCGTTCGGGTGCCTTTTGAAGCACTTGCACTGACTGTAGAGCTCTCAATCTCACCATACATCCTGTTCGGACCAGCGCCCTCCCAGACCTACGGTTGATGATATAAATCCTGCATCCATAATTCCCATAGTTTAGGGTCCGCCCTCCCAGACCTACACTTACCTTTGGTTAGTAGGGAGTGGAAGAATGGGGTAGAATTATAGCTACTATTACTACCATTCTTCCATTCCCTACTAACCAACGGTAAGTGCAGCCCTCAACCAGGGAGATGGAAGCGGAAGCGGCTTTAGGTAATTGGCTGTCCAGACGTTTCCAGATTGTGCTCTGGGAGTTTAGGCTTTAGAACCTCCACGCCCCACAACCACAACCGCTGTGAAATCCCCCTTAACCCGACTCTTCCTTAGCATCAGAGGCCTCCGGAAGCCGCGAGAGGAATGCCTCCGCCTCTGTGCAGGCCGCCGAGCGGGCGAAGGCGTGGAGGACCTCGGAGAGTGTCAGATCATTCCAAGCCCTGGAAAGACCTTCATTAATTTCCATGAATAGACTCCAATATATGATCATTCCAACGCCCCATGCAGCAGGATTTGAACTGGTTTTCTGGTTTTCATACTCGTGTGAAATAGGAACAAGAAGGGAACTTTATGAACAGTATATTTACCCGGATCCCAAAACGCCCACCCCCAGGTGCCAGCTCAGGAACCCGAAACCCTAAACTTTACAGGGGTTTCAGGGTCTAAAAAAGGGCAGGGCTTTGTTCGAACTGTTCAGCCCATGAAAGCCCACATCTCTCCGAGGCGCAGTGTTCAACATCACAGGATTCGCGGCATCCTCTTTCCTAGCTCATGGTTGGCATACTATCAAAAACTAAAATTCAAACTTGTATTCCTTGTTGGGTCCATAATTAAGACCCAATACTATTACTATTACTACTACTATTACTATTAAAATGTAAAATGTTACCCAACTACGAGAAAGTGTCTCTGCCAGCCATTCCAGAGCCAGACCTGCCTTTGGACCGGAAGGCTTTTGCTAAGGAATCGAGATTTCGGACCTTACTTGGAGGTTCGTGGGTAGTTATATATATATACATATATAATATCAAATATTATATATATAAGTGGGGTAATTAGGGTTGTAAGTATAGTTGCCCTAGTTATAACCTAACCTCCAAGTTGCGCTTCCGATTTGGGCTTTGGGGCTTTAAGGTTCCAGGTAGGCTTTGGCTTTGAGGGCTCTCAGCTCAGAGCGCGTAGATCTGGGAGTGCCTTTTTTGCTTTCACAAATCTTCCGGAATAAGAGTTCGTCATGTTCGCGATCTAACACCAACGACATAGCCAGAAAGTCATTCTAAATCATCCCGAACCCAAACACCCAATCGATTAACAAGTCTCTCTTCGACTTCGGCCGGCTTAAGTATGCATTTTAAGGGTCTAGGGTGCAGGGTTTAAAGGTGGACAGCTTGATGCTTAAGGTTTACATCTTAGAACTGTAAGTTCAGTTTTTCGGCCTTAAGCTTTGCGGGTTCAAGTTAACTTGGGGGGTCACGCTTCAGGAGATGGCCTTGAGCGTGACAGCCACCTCCAGACGGTATGCACTTACTTGAGTATCAACATATGGCTGCATTTTCATCTGTCTGTCTTTGCCCGAGAAACGATATTCATGCATTGCGCTTTAACATCAATGTCTGTTGGTATGCTTGCGGCGAATACAGCGACAGCATACAGCTTCGCACAATATGAGTGTCGATGGTCGCTTACACCTGGTAATGTCCGATGTAGTAGAGAGATGTATGCAACTGAGCATGCGTACCACATTCTGTTCTTCTCATATTACCATATAAACACATGATAAACACATGACGGTACAGTGCAACAGGTACACAACAGGTTGCAACTTGAGATAAAGGGGTATATCTTGATATCCTATATATTGTCTTCTTGGATCTTACCATAAAAGTGGCTATATATTGAGATACTTGGAGGTTTATGGGTAGTTATAAGTAGGGTTATAAATCCCCTAATATGAGGTATAAGTATAGTTGCCCTAGTTATGACCCTACTGAAAACTACCCATGAACCTCCAAGTGTTGCCAACATAGCCAGGCGGCCTGGCCAGCTTTAGCTGCAGACTCGATGAGCTTTCCGAGGGTCTTTGTGTTCGTGCGCACGCTTTGCCGATGCATCTCCTCGTGCCAGTCGTAGAACAAATCTGCTAAAAGGTCCTATTGAGTTATAATCTGCTAAAAAGTCATAGATTGCGTCATATGAGTTGATACTCATCATGCTACATAAAACACTTACGTGATCAGGAGGACGGTTGACAAGGAAGCAGGACTCTGTGAGAGCTCTTTCTGGCTCTGAGAGGCGGTCATGTGGGAGTTTCCGATAAGAGGGGACCCTGATATAGTACCCTAAATAGTAGGATCCTTATTATCGGGACCCTACAATAGGGGGACCCATAAGTTTCGGAAACTCGCATATCTCGGACAACATTCTGGCAAGCTGCACTTGGTGGTTATCAAAATTAGGGTCCCTTTTTTGGGTCCCTATTTTAATACAGCACCTAATATTTAGGGTACCCAAAAAGGGCCTTCATTTTGATAACCACCCACTTGAAATCTGGTGCTGTGAGGTATAGGGTTTAAGGGCGGAAGTGCCTCAGAACATCCTGAGCTACATGGCCAACACTCTACAGCACCGATCCCCAAACGTAGTCCTTGTTCTATTTAAGTTAACCACCCACTCACTACAACTAATTTATAATGGTAGATCTTTATTACCAATATTAGTTGATAGAACACACCTAATTCCTAGTTCAGATCACCATGACGACTGGTCCCCAAGACCGGAAGAAATGAACCACAGAGTGCCCACCGGACCTTATACTATCATACAGAATTTTATAAGATTAGATAGTACAGTATGGTATACCAGACCCTATACTTATAATATCATATAGTACCGTATAATATCATACAAAATCTTATAAGATTACCTGCTACAGTATGGTATGATAGAATATACCTGCCCCTCCTGAACCCAGCGGCTGGCACCAGGGAAATCGCCTGCGTTGGCGTAGGCCTCTGCTTTCGACCACATCGGATCAGAGTAGAAACCCTGAACTTGGGCTCAGGGCTAAGGTAGTTGCTTCCCGCTTAGGATTTTGGGTTCAGGGTGCAAGGCTTACGTAGTGTTTGGAACTTGGAGGGTGCTCCGTTGCACCTTTTGAAGGTAAACTCTAAACCGTACGGAAACGCCCAGTCATCTGCGCAAATACTGGGACCTTCCGAGTAAGCCCTCAGAGTCATTCTACGGCCCTTAAAGGGCTCCTTCAAGGTTCCTTTAGGCTCCAGCCTCATCAGTCCATCCTTAAGGATTCGAGTTGGGATCCTTTAAAGGACACGATGAGGTCTAATGTAGGCTGTTCTATGCTATAGGAGCTTTCGTCATAATATGAAATCAGTATATTTAGAAGAACTAAGGAGCACTCTAGGCAATCATTCAAGCTTCTATGTTGCAGACTTCAGTATATAGTTTATGTGTATATGTGTATATGTGTATATATATATATATATACATGTGTAGATTGGTTACTTACTTATTCATTAAATGCTTCTGTTTATACACACATATATACACATATACATGTAACGTTTAGGAGTTGAGGCCCCAAGATACTTCTGAGGCCGGAGACTCGAACCTAAGCCTACAGGGCAAAACCTGAGTCCTGTATCGCTTCAGGCCCTGGCTGATGAGAGTGAGGTTTTAGCAAAAATAGGCATAGCATTGCCATACTAAGGTGCCCTATGCCATAATTACCTCAGTTGCTGAGTTCATAAGCTCAAAAAGTATACACTTTTGGCTTTATAGTGGGTAGTACTATCCAAAAAAGTGCAAAGTGTATCCACTCAGCTACTAAGTTACCGGACCCGTCAGGCCGCCCCGTATCTTCTCGGCCCGAAAGCGTAGTCACCCAAAACACTTACGTTTGGTTAGTAGGGAACGGAAGAACGGTAGTAATAGTAGTTATGGGTTTAGGATTTAGGGTTTCGGGTTTAGGGTTTAGGGAATGGAAGAATGGTAGTAATAGTGGTTATACTTGTACCCCACCCATTCCTCCCTTCCCTACTAACCAAAGGTAAGAACAGCCCGGTCTCTGCCTTGAGCATGGTGTTGCAAAACATCGTGGCGCTGGGGTGCTGCGCTCCAGCCCAGAGTTGCTCGAAGATGGCGGATGCCTGAAAAAAGGCTTAAGCGTCACCTGAGAATATCTACGGGAAAGGGGTTTAGGGTTTGTTTCAGGGCTCCTCTAAGGGTTCTACAGATTCTACAGTTCTATCACGGACTTAAGGGACAGGCTCGATGTTTGTGGATTGCACCGGGTGCAAGGGGTTTCCGAAATTCACTCTTTGTTGGGTATGTCTTGACAAAGAGTCTGTGGATCTCTGCTGGAGTCCTTCGTATTTGAAGTATCCATCCGGGCAGGCTTACAGCTTGCAGAAACGAGCGTGACGCAGTGAGGTTCTCGAGACGTAAGGCGTTTCTAGGGTTCTATGTTGAGGGGAAAGAGTGGGCTCGACGTTCAGGCTTTGGGAGCTTGAATTGAGGTATCAAAGCCTGAGTTGGGCTCCTAAGGCGAGACAAGATGAATGAAGGTGGGGCAATCTCAAATAAAAGCGCTTCATGATTGTAATGGGTCCTGAATCCTACCGGCATCCCAGCTGTTGAGATCCTCGCAAGCAGCGGCTGAGGGAAGGTCGGCCTCAGACACGTTACCCTTGGTCGCAGCGACGTTCAGCTTTGTCGAAAGACCCGTCCTGGTCATACAGAAGCAGACATCACAACACGGCTTCCGGCTTCACAGTTTTTCAACTCTTTGCTTGTTGCAACATGAGACGAACCACCGTGAAGTTTCAGCTGGGGTGCTCCGGGTTTGACGGCGAGGACCTGGAGGATGACAAATCAGAAGATACGATGAACCAACAAACAATGCGTGCTTTTGTATATGGGAGTTTCCGAAAATAGGGGACCCCAATATAGTACCCCAAATGGTAGGATCCTTATTATAAGGACCCTAAATTAAGGTACCCCAATTTTCGGAAACTCCCATATAGCGATATGAGACAAACGAAGCAACAACGGTACGTGTCCCGCGGGCTAGGCAAGAAGAGAAGATCGATTCAACGGGAAATGAACAAACTCTCGTCTAATGCGCTATGCCATATTACAAGACCTTGCGTTTGGCGCATACACCGTGCACTATGCACTACTTCCCCACTTTCAAGCTTGGTACTAAATCCAATGAATGGCACCAGTGACAGAAACAGCAATATGAGCATACTAGCATTTAATGGCAATGGGACAAGAGATGGCAACTTCGACAACCCTCAAGCCTCCAAAGCCTGAACGTTTGAAGCCCCGAAGCGCTGAAGTCCACAACTTCGAGTTCAATGGTCTGGGGCTTCGGGCTTACTCACTTGGAGGTTCATGGGTAGGTATAAGTGGGGTTATAAGTAGGGTAACTATACTTATAACTCGTATTAGGGGACTTCTAACCCTACTTATAACCAGCCATGAACCTCCAAGCAACAATTTTAAGGGCGTCTTTCGGGACCTAACCTGCAACTCGAAGAAAAAGGCACCAAAAAGGTACGAGTAGGCCATTGAGGCTTCAGGAAGGGGTCCAGGGGCCCAGAGCTTCGAACGCCCAAAAGTCCGAGCTCCAAGAGTAATGGAGGGGCCTGAATAGTTGGAATAGGGTTTTTTTGGGGTTTCCTTGCTATCATTAAAGTATAACATACCTGAATAGGGCTTTTGGGGTTTCCTCATTATCTTTATAGTATAGCATACCTCAAAACCATGTTGAAACTGTTGAGGCCCCTGCATGACTCCCCAACGCTGTAAACGGGAGTTGCAGGAACCCAGGGATACCAGTGAAAACCCAACAACAATCTTACCCAAGTAAGGTAGCCCTACTTCGAGGTTCATGGGTAGTTAGAAGCGGGGTTATAAGCAGGGTAACTATACTCACAACTCCTATTGGGGGACTTATAACCCTACTTATAACCACCCATGAACCTCCAAGTACACCCGCAGTGGTTGAGCACTTATAGAAAACTCTTAGCGAGCCCTTCCAGAAGCCCAAAGATGCTACGACAAGCCCCAATAACTCCAGTAGACCTAGGAAATTGTAAGATCCTTCGTCCGGGGACCATTTTGATAATGAGCAGCTTAACAGTTTAGGGTTGAAGCTTTTTTGTATGGGTTTATCGCAACACCCACCGAAATCCCCCCGCTTTCACCTCCAGCTCATGGCGGCGCCATGGGAGTTCGCTCGGAGAGCGGCTGGGAGCGTGCCGAGTCATGAGACTCCTGGCTTGGGTTCCACGACAGTTAGGAGCCCTAAAGTAAACACATGGGTAGCTGCCAAAATTAGGGTCCTTCTTTTGGGTACTTTAAATATTAGGTGCCGTATTATCATAGGGACCCAAAGAGGCATCATAATTTTGACAACCACCCACATGAGACTTAACATGAGGAGCTCTAAGGAAATACATGGGACTCGTCATGAGGACCCCGAAGAAGATGTAGGAGAATTACAAGGTTAGGAGCCCTCTAAGGAACCACATCTTGCTTATCCAGTATACTAGTGAAACAAAAAGTTAACCTTTCGGGTGTTTTTTTAGGGACTCGTCCCCAACAAGGCTTTAGGTTACCTACTCTACTGTTAAAAAGAGTAGGTGCGACGAGTTCAGGAGGCAAGGGCTTTGAGGTTTTGGGGTTCAGGGTTTCCGGATTCGGACGATTCAGGTTTAACTGGGGCGCTCGATGACTGGGCTATATGTTTCGGGCTTCAGGGGTGCTTCCGGATTGCAGGATCTGTGAACTAGCTTGTTAAGCCTTGCTTTACGGTCGACCTCACTCGTGGAGAACTGCCTCGATAGAGAACAAGAAGTGTTTCCAGGGTTTAGAAGTTTAGGTATAGGGACCTTACTAGCCACCAAGAATATTTTGGGGGTTCCTTACTGTAATTATTGTTTTATGTACTTCTAATTACTAAGGGCTCCGGGTCTGTACCACCCATCAGCAACACTCCTCCCATTCCCGGGCTCCGGGTCCTGGCAGCCGGGCATTCAGCCCGGGATGAGCATCGTAGACCCCAAGTCAGGCAGCAAGCGGATGTTCTTAGTGCTTGGCCATGGCAAGCGCTAACCTCCCCTAATCCCAATATGGCAAGGTCCATGTTAGCTTCAGGGGGACGGTGACGAAATGGGCAGTTGGAGGGAGCTTCGATGGCCGTTGTGGCTAATCCAGCTGCAAAGGCTGCATCCGAGAACAAGCTCGTCAGAAGCTGGGACACATGGCACAACTTGCATCTCGAGCAATGCCTTCCTGCTTTTTTTGGCAGGGTCTCTGAGTCTACATGCTCTTTCGCCGGATTAGGCTGATGGAGCGTACGAGCTGTGACTCTGTCATCTCCACCAAACCTACCGGAGACACGATCAGGCCTTCATGCAGATTAACTGCAAGCTGTCGCAGGCAACTTGTCATGTTTCTTGGGTTCTAAGGGGTCGGGGAGCAACTATGCTGGGGTCCCAGGAAAGCCAGGCCAAGGAAAAGCTGGTGGCAGCCAAACCAGATGGAAGCCATACTATGGCCAAAACGGTGCGTGTGTGTGTGTGTGTCAAGAAAACGTACGGAGGTAAGCTCTCTTGTTCCATGCAGCAAGTTACATGTGGTTGCATGTGTTCACCTGCTCATGGGGGAAGTGGGTTGTGCGCATGGACAACACACTGATATCAAACTTATACTACCTAGCTTATTGCAAACAGTAGCTAGCAACTGCTTAACGCAACTGCCAGGTCTACGCGATATTCAGTACACAAGAACAGCGCTAGAAACATGACCCCCAAACCCAGCATTGAACCACACACCAACCCCGGAACTATTTGGGTTTGGGCTTCTAAATATTATGTCGATGCCGCACTTGTCCGCTGCGACTGCCTACCGTGGAGGAGGATCCTCCGTGCGGACTACGGCGCGGTCCCCTGCGCTCCTTGCGGCTTAGGCTCTGGAGCTTCGGGGTTTGGGGCTCATGGGGTTTATGGGTTTGGGCTTCGGGCTTCTCTTCCGGTCTTTAGGAGTTCGTGACCCTTACCCCAGGGTCCAAAAGCACTTCCGGGGTCCTTTACTTCGAGCTCGGAGCCCGGATATCTAGGTTGCATAAGAGAGAGTAGTTCCATATATATATATATGTATATATATATATATACATGTATATGTATATGTATATGTATTTGTATATGTATATGTATATGTACATCTATATGTCTGTATGTATGTCTGTATGTATGCACACATTCTTTCCTTATGCTATAGTACACTACCTTCCCTTGTTCTAGCGAATCAGGCACTCGAAATAGTAGGATCCGTGACTATAAGGACCCCTAAATGAGGCCCCCCTAAGTTAGCTACTATTTGCTTAAGAACCCACAAAAAATAAAAATATGTTCCTTATGGGGGTAATATAGGGATTATTATTTTTATTTCTTGGTGGTTTCTTAAGCAAATAGTAGTTAGTCTTTAAGTTGAAGCTCTTTGGGGGTAGATAGGGCCTCTCGGCTCCAGGATGAAGGCCACCCTTTCTCGGGCTTATGTTTTTTTTTTGTTTGTTGGTGGGGTTTATCGTTTTAGGGCTTTAGGGTTTCAGGGTTTTAGGGTTTAGGATGTGAGGTATATGTTGGGGCATTCCGCTGGAGCGGGCGGAAGCGGCACTGAAAATGGTCAAGGAAGCTTCGAATTTGAGCCGCGGACTCAGTCCTGATGACAGGAAACCCCTAAACTTTAAACCCTCCTAACTTCGGCGTATGGGCTTTCCTCATTAGGGGAGCCCCTCAATCGACCCAAAACCCTAAGCACTCCAGCCTACTTGGAGGTTCATTGGGTAGTTATAAGTGGGGTTGTAAGTAGGGTAACTATACTTGTAACTCGTATTAGGGGGCTTCTAACCCTACTTATAACTACCCATGAACCTCCAAGTAGAAAAAAGCGCTGAGCCCGCAATCCCAGCTGTAGTGGACCGGGCTCGGAGGCTTCATGCAGCGGTTGTGGTCTAGCAATTACATTACAACGGAAGCCTGTAATGGGCCTACTTACTTATACACCTGTGTTTCATTAACAAATACAGCTTAACAAGCCCTACACCTGAAAGCCCTTGCAAGTCACCTAAAATGACGAGGCTTCCCGGACAGTTCCAAGAGAGGCCGTTCTTCGAACTGCTTCTCTGAAAACGCGGGGCAGGGCTCCAATATCCCTTGATGTGAGGGCCCTGCAATGTGCTCTAGAACCCCCAAGCTTCAGAAGCTGTCTTCTGACTGAGCTCATATTGGAGTCTCTGGCGGAGCTCAGGACCTAATTCTCAGGTCGGCGAGTCCAAAAATCAGAGACAAGGAGTTAAGGTTTAGGCTTTAGGCTTCAGGGTTTAGAGGGTTTGGGATTTACAGGGTTTAGGGTTTTGGGGAGCGAGGGCTGAGTTTGGGGCTTCTTTTCGGGTTTTGGAATTCTGTAGGGGTTTCTCGTAGGGTTGATAAAGCGGCTCTATAATTTGGTCCTATGCTCTTTGACCTTGAGGGTGTCAGCATTTCCTGGGTGATGAGGCATTGCCTGAACTCAGAAGCCCTTGAATCCACGAACTTCCAACTTACCAGGAGCACCCTCTCTGCTACTGACACCTTATAATGGGATCTATAGGGGTTTGGGTCTACTTAAAGGGCCATGGGATTTAGTAACTAGGGTTATATACTGACACCTGAAAGCGCCGACAAGCCCCCCCCTTTGCTGTTGAGGCGTTCGAGCGTAGAAGGACTCTCTCCGGCCACGGCGCAAGCAGCGCGAACATGTGCAATGAAGCGCTGGCTCCGAAGGTCCGACGTGCTCATTTAGGGGCCTGAGTGATTAGCATAAGGCTTTGGGGTGTACCAATCAGAATTAAAGGAAGGAGCCCTAAGGAATAGAATTAGTGATCTTCGGGCTTTTATACTACAGCCCCAGAATGCCAGACTGCACTAATTGAACCAGACTCTGCAATTGCTGAAACAAGGAGAGTACGAATTTCACATGCCCCAAGCAACCCTAGTCCTAAGCCCTACATGATAACAGCAGCCAAAACACCCGAGCATGCAACCAGGATAGTTGTAGCACAACTCACACGAAAAAACCGCCATATGTATTCACCATCACAATCAGACAAACAGATAGGTTGAATCTCGAAACCTTTTCTCTACTCTACATAAAGATGAACCCTTACCATCATAGGAGCAGCATTACCCCAGAAGCACTAAGCGCCCTGATGCATGCCACTGGATCCTAGTTGGATCCGGTTTGCCGGGCACAAAAGGTTGAGGCCCAGAGAATGGACCTGGAAGCCTTCCGGGGAGGTGCAGCCATTATGGGTCCCCTGTGCAATGCGTCTCTCACCCACAGAGGTTGAGGCTTAGGCGTGGAGGGCTTGGGCTTGGGGTGCTCGTGCAACCGTCCACTCCATTTAGCACCGGGGGATTGAGGGGTGGGCAACTTAGGGCTTGCGGACAGCCAGCAGGGCCGCAGTTCTGAACAACTTCGTACACCCAAACCTCCAAGCTTAAGTCCGACGTGCCTTTTCCTAGGGGTTCGTGGGTGTAGGAAAGCCACCAGAACTCCAGTCCCGAACTCCTAGAAGATCTTGGGCTCTCCGGAACAATCTCACGGCCACATCCTCAACTGATGAAGGGCCTCAGTGCAAGAGGAGTCCTAGCAAAAATCACTCAAGTTAAATTCGTTTACAGGTCTCTGGAAGGGGGTATCTGAGGGTTTAGTTTCGAGCCTGAGTGGCTCATAACACGGACGGGGGCATCAGAGACCCTAAACCCTGAATGGTATACCGAGGAGACCAAACCCTGAACAGCACAAAAAAACCCTGTAAGTACTTTACTCGGAAGACACCGCAGTCTAATATGAAGGTCCAGTGAGATCCCCTTACCCCAAGACTCTGTTCCATCTCTCCAGCCCCTGACCCCGTCAGGTCCATAGCAAGCCTATGAATACCCTCTCCAAGCGTTTAAGGCGCTTGTATCATAACCTATGTTCCCTGACAGCTCTACCTTAAGGAACCTAGCGAGAAATCGAAGCTTCCACGTGCAATTCGGACATCTTGAAGATACAGGGTTTATAGGGCACAGCTACAGCAAAGGCCGACACGAGGGCAGCTCGGCCGGATTTGTTTCGGGTTCTGGGGAAGGCGGGATGGGTGCAAGCCTCATGATGACTGGAGTATTC